TTTCTCAGTCTGCATTTAATCTTACCTGATGCCTTGCCTCTGCTGCCCTTTATTTTGTTATCAACTTCTAGCTACCTATTGTAAGCGTTGTTTGAAGTCAACTGCAAAGGTGCTCGCTTGCACACGACTTCAGGACTTGGTGCAAGCTGTTCGAAGGAACTTCGTAACGTAATTGGGGAATGTAAAGGCATTTGGTAGTGCCAGGATTCTCCCAGCCCGACAAAGTTCTGCGGGGCTCGTTGGCAGGGCTTGGAAGCGTTCAGTTGCCTGGGTTCCATTAGGGTATTTACATCAGCTCTGTTGGTACCTCTGTCACATATACAACAAAACGGGGAAAAGATGTCTTCAGCTGGCGAGTTTCCAAACCCATTTAAGGTTCAAAAAACTTACAGGAAGTTTGGGTTTTGCCTCTTCGGTACCCTGGTTGTTGGTGCTCTTATTGTGACGGTCCTCTCTGTCATTTCGGTGAGTCAAACTTCTTTCGCTTTGCCTAAGTTTCTTTCAGCAGTTCTGATATCTGTGTTCTACATACTTGCCTTTCTGGCTTTGAGTAAACTTTCATGAATTTCATTAAGGGCCAGGATTGCTATGACATTTCAACGTGCATCGGTTCCAAACCCCGTGTTAGCATCAATGGTTATCTTTGTCATCTTTACGCTGTCATTGAACTTCTTTTTCAGACATCTTCCGCAATGCCGTTAGCCTGTCCCTAATTCTTTGGATGATGAGATGGTTGTTTCCTTCCGGTTCAAGTCCTCATTGCGAACAAAATTTTCCAATGCAAACCGAATCTATCCGGATCTCTTATCCAGCTTGTTTGCACGCCAGCTTCAGAAACAAGCATCATGGACTTTCTGCAAGCACTTCCTTGAGAGTGACAGGAGGCAACATTCTAGTATAGAGTTCTCATATTTGAATGCTGCAAGATCATGTTCAGAAACTTTGAAGCACCAGCCATGGTGGAGCAGTCAACTTGCTTTCTTTCAAACCGTAGAGTTTGTCACTACCACCCTTAAGCCAGCATCAGTCTGCCGTTCCCACCCAGTTGTCATGTACACTTTTGTGCGTCCCATGCCAGGTGATGGTTCTACAAATTGAAGAACATGTTGATGAAGTCATGGCATATTAGGTCAGAGGATTGTTGTGAGGGCTTCATTGTGAGCCGTACATCAATGAAACCTGTAAGAGTTGGCGGAGAGTTGGCAGAGAAGGATGTTCAAACCAGTTCACCAAGACAAAGGTAGACAAAAAGGGGTTGACGGTGCGGCTGGTGTGGTATTGATAGGCCTAATCGTCCCAAAAAAAGTTTTTACTCTACCTTATCCAAGAACAGCTTGATGAGCAACAGGTGGTTTTCCCAAATGAGGGTTATGTGCACAGATGATGTCATCCAGATGGAGTGCTTAAACCCTCCCTTTTCAGGTTTTTCAGAAGCAGTTGCCACTGCACCAGATCGTACAAGCGCCGGCAATGTTGTTTCAAGAATTGCATCAGTGTTGTGCAGGTTGAAGGGTGCACAAACAGAGGGAAATGCTGTCAGCAAATCATCCCACTAAGTAACTCAAGAGTTTGAGTCATGAAGTGTGGACACCGATCAGATTTCCTGCCCTCACTCAATCAAGACTAAGTGGCCTCTGCTCGGTTTGACTTCTCCGCAGGAATATGTCGATCAGATTATGCTCATTGACTCATAAGACTGCTGGAGGGCAGAGGTCTTGTCAAGTCGATCACAGCACGGGCGCCGTCCGAATGACCATCCTCCCATGTAGGGGTTTCCACATTGAAACTTCTGATTTGCCACGCCAACACCACAGCAGGAATCACCAACCTGTCCTGGCTCTTTCTCCTTCGCAGGTCGTGAACCTCGTGAAGAATCACATAGTGGAGGAGACCATCCAGTCGAAACTGCCGTTCTTGCCATACATCTACATATGCAGCAGTAACCCCGATACGTACAATCTGACCGGCAACATCTACGTAGGCTGTGGGGACGATGTTGGGAGCCCGGAGCTCGTGCTGCAGAGCAACAATGCGGGGGCGAGTGCGCGCACTGATACATTCTGTGTGCCTGAGGTTGTCACGGTGCAGGTAAGTTATTTCAGGGGTGAGAAGCAGGGTTGGGCAGTGGACTTCTGCATTAAGCCCTTTCGTGGTCGTATCCTTTACGATGTGTATTCCAGAAGCCTTCTTCATCAGGCAGCGCCGGTCCCATTGGCGTTGTGTATTCTTTGAGGAGTTGAAATGATAAACAATCGAAACTGTTGAGTATACAGGTGAGTGCCCCTTACTGAGGGGCCTACTACTTGCAGGTTTGACAGAACAAAAAGTGACCGTGAGCAAGCAGCCCGTGTATTTTTGTCATGATTCTGCCTGATTACTTCTTATAAAGCTCTACCAAGCGCATCCGGACAAGGCCTCGACCTTACTATCAGTAACAAACCTGACACCGATTCCTTCGCTTGCTATCTTAATGTACTCAGTCTGTTTGTCATTCTGTGTCTGGGACTGTTTGCGCACTGTGGAAAGCGCTGAAAGCACCGGGTGTTCAAATATCAAAAGAACCTGAATTGTTGCTTGTATCTACAATTTAAGCCTGATTCCCGCTTCCCTTCCCAGATTATGAACCGGCAGCTCAAAGGGCCGCGGGCGACGCAGTGCGTGTCCTTCAAGCTGAACCCGCAGGGCCCCACCGACATTCCCTGGGAGGGGCAGGTTTATGTCATGTACCCAAGGTCGACTTACCAGAGCGGCCTCAGTGCGCTACAGCAGAGCTTCATTGGCCGTGAGCGATTCGAGCTCTTTCTTCGGTGGTCCGGCTTCTCTATTTCCCAGCGCTCTTGATAAGGTTTCTTTCCGGCGACAGACTGGTGCCACTTTCGGCCTCGTTCCCGTCAGGTACCCGAGGACAGCCTCCGTGCGCTGCAGCAGAGGTTCATCGCTTTGAGCGACTGGCGCCTTTCCTCTTTCCTCTTTCATTTGTCCTCTTCCCAGCGCACATGGTTAGGCCCGATATCCAGCTGTAAAGCCGGCGTCGATTTGCCCCTCACGCACTTGCCTCTCATGCCTAAACACGCTTGCGGTTTAGCAGGATGGCCTGCAGCCTTCCTTTTCGCAGGCTTTGCTTTACCGGCTGGCATTCAGAAGTTTCGAAACCCCTCCCGCTTGTACTGTGTTGTAAGGCTAGTGGCTACTGCTGTTTGTTCGGGGATAGAGCACACAACGGCTGTGGTTTCCTTGTCAGCCTAAAGTCTGTGCTGGACTCTACCATTCAAACAAATCATCCATGTTTCGTTGTCTAGTAGCTACTCGGATGCCGTTTGTTTGCGTCGTCCTTCCCGTCAGAAACGCTGAATGTTAGGACAATTTGAGCAACGCTCCTTGCACAAGGTTTAAGAATCTCGAAAGCAGCTGAGAAGAACGTGTATACCGTAGTCTGTGAATAGCTGTGCTTTGCACGTATATGCAGTGGGGATGAACGTGTACTTCACCGACTTCGGCGGTCCCAAGCTGATTGCGAACAACGGCTTTCTGCGCGACTTCAAGGAGATCTTCGAGGAGGCCGACAGCGTGGAGAAGTTTGAGGAGGGCGCGACGTTCCTCCAGCCGTTTGCACGCACCACGATCCAGATGCAGAAGACCAACCGGATCTTTGCAGATGGCCACAGTGTAAGCCGGTTCTTCCTTCCAACTTGATGTATTGCCAACTCGTGTTCGTGCGACATCTGCGAATGAACTTTGTTGGCAGAGACTTTTACGGCTTCAGCTGTGGGGATCCTGGAAACCGGAAAATCCAGCGAAAGATGGGGAGGGTCTTAGCCTCTGTCACCTGGCAATATCTACGGGGCGTTGATGTCTCCGCAACTCAGAATTGCGACCCTGCGGAATACTTTCATTGACGATCAGGGTTGTGCCGCAGTGCTTCTGTAATTCCAAGTGAGATTCACTTGTACCAGCAGACTTTCTAAACTTTGAGGTCTCATCCTTTTCGTTAGGGCTTATCGGAATGAGGGCTCAAGATGCAGTCAGTTGTTTCCTCGGAACTTGCGCTAGGGATTGAATAGCATCTGCCAGGCGAAGCTTTCTGAAACAAGGTTTCGGGACTTTGATGTCACTGCGCAATTGGATCCACTTGGAGCCTTGAGAAGATCGAAGCTGGGAACTCTCAAGAATGTGTAGACAGGACACCATTATGCAGGATTTCTGCTTCGGGTTTTCAAGTTTGCGGCTCATTGGTCACGAAAGTAACATAGATTTCTTTATCCTTAACAATTACCCTGTCAAGAATAGTTGATGCCGCAGCAAATACCGAGGATTCCGGATAATTCACCGCCTTGACGCTTGCTCTCTTCACAGATTGTGAAGTACCCCATCTTTGGCGCTCTTACCACGACCCCTCTTCCCAACGTGACCGCCGGCATTGCGTCACTCCACAACATCCCGGCCGCGCAGGCCGCGACTGCCAATTTCGGCGCTGTTGTCCTGGCGGCCAGCATAAGCTATGACGAGGTCACGCTGCGGGAGAAGAACCTGGTGGCAATCATCTTCACGCTGATTGGCTCCATCCCTGGCTACATAAGCTATATCTTCCTCATCTGGTATGTGTTCTTTGAGGCGGACGCCCCGAGCCCCGCCTTCACGATCTCGTCATGGTTGAAGAAGGGCTCTTCGGTGGCACGGTCGATATCAAAGAGGGGTCCGCCGGAGCAAATCACGGCGACAGAGCAGAAGCGGTTGGCACTATCGCGTGGGGACAGTGTAGACATTCCGGCAGGTCTGTAGATGACCGGTTGGTTTTGTTTGGTTAGGAGGTTTCTTTGGCCAGCTAGCTTGCCGCATGCTTTGCTTGGACAGTCAGTGGTTGGCATGTAGATAGAGAGTTTGGGCTGTAAGTAGGGCAAAGACACATTGGGGCACATATTTATGACTCATGTCGGTCAGACCGCTTAGTTGCAACAACTTGAGCACATCTTCTTCTGTTGACACGGATTACATAGAGCAAGATTGTTGCCTAGCTTGAAATCTGCGATCTTGAGATTAGGGATATTCTGCAGGGTGCATGCATTGCGACGTGCTGCTTGTACGATTAAAGATTTGCCCTGCACCAATAGTACCGCAGCAGACTCGATAGGCCAGTTGGCCCGCATGCAATAAATGGTACGTCAGGCCGGTGCAGTTCAATCAGAAATATACATGGGGGCAGCCAACTCGCAGAATTTAGTACGTAGCATTGCCGGTGCGCATGCCATGGCTAATTTAATTGGGCGCGGGCTAGAACCTGTGTCCATGGGAACCTTTCGAGTGTCGGATGCGATGCAGAGTACCCAGGTACGATTTTGTCTCTAGTCCAAACAGCTAAGTTCAAACACTATAGCTCGGATGTCGATATTCATTACGGGCACCATGCAAGCTCTTTGCGAGGCCTACATTTGCCTGCTGACGATGAATTGCACATCGAATATATCTTGATATAAGAAAGTCGATTTAGTAACTATATAGGTAATGCGTCAGTAAACATTCAAAGGGATCAATTTGAGCGACAAATATATCCGCTCGTAGATGTGCATGTTAGATAAATCTAAGTCCGGCTTGCTTAGCTCTCCTTTTACTTTGTGACAATATCTTGGTCGTGTACCTGGTTCGCCCTTCTGAGTCGATGAAGGAAGAAGTCTGCACTCAAAACGCACTGCCGGGTAAGACAGCAAGGGTGGTCGACGCGAAATCAAAATCCAATCTGGCCCAATCGCTAGGATATAACATGAAGGGGTTTGGCCAAACGTTGTGACGCGTTGAAGCAAACACTGAAATGGCAAATAAGGCCTCCAAACAACATCCAAGCGGCCGAAAGCTCTGTGCTGCTCGAAACTTTCATATGACATACAGTCGTGCACTTTGAAGTAGCCTTTCATCGGCGTCGCTTGTTTTCTCTTCTTCCAAACAGTCGAGTATAACGAAGATGCAGAGACGTAATTATCACGCAAGCAAGAGACGGTTGGTGGTCGAACACTCACCAACTCTTTATTTGTCACCTTGTGAAGGAGGAACCCGTTGAAGCCGGTCCTGCGAGAAGGAAGGGGAAAGATCAGCAACCCGTGATCCGCGCCAAAGTAGTAATTTGGAACTTCACTGGCTGCGCCGAGCCAAGAGCTGCAACTGGCGATGGCACCAGATTGGCCGGGGCCTTTAGTGGCAGGCTGTGAGCATGGATTGTAGGGTTCATCGGATTTTACCGACGTAAAGGCGAGCCCGTCGCAAACCTCCTCAGCAGTCAATCAAGATGTTATGCGGCAGTACTAAGCGATTGCGTAGCACAGCTTGCGGATGACGTTTCGGCGAGTTGATGAATGAAGGCGATGCCTTGAACAGGCAGAAAGACAGACTGCAAGCGAATCCTGTGACGACAAGTCGCTAACCGCTCTTACCGTGGGCAATCACGATCGACTCCAAACGGCCACCCCGAGAGATCGGATCAGAAAAGAGACTCTTGAAACCGACTGGCTGGCTTTCTCGACCCTCAACGGGCTCGGCTCAGGCAAAGTAGGAATTTCTGATTGCTTTTACTTTATCCACAACGCGCTCGGATGAAAAGCGAAGAATCTCCGGGAAGGCCATAACTCCACCCACAAGGAATCAGGAAGACAAAAACCTTTGGACGACTGGTCGGCCCAGTCATATCACGATTCACAACGCGCTCGAATCAGACAACAGACTCTTGCAACATGTCTGATATTCTTACTCGACCCACAACGCGCTCGCGTCCGCTGACACGACGTGCGTCTTGTAGCCGCCCAACCCGTTGCCCAGAAACTGCACGTGCCCCTCCTCAAAATGCTGGCCCACGTGGTCGTGCCCGCTCAGGTACGCGTCCTGCGAATCGGGGTTACGAAAGGTTGGCTTGACTAAGATTCGATTCCATGAAGAAAACGGATTGTCTCGATCGTAGAGGAAGCTGCTCCGACCAGCTTGGTAGCTTGTTGCGCAATCCTAGATGTAACTTTGGTGAGAGTCCGGAGAACTGCCCAAATAGACGTCTCCTTTAGCTCACCACTATCAAGCGGAAATGGTTCCAGCCTGATTAACCCCTCCTAACCAAGCATGGTTAAGGGCTCAGTTCTTCTCCCTCACCACGCTGTGGCGCGAGAGAAGAGGCGGCAGCACTTCCATGAGGGCGAAGTCTCCCCGGAAACGGTCGCGGTCCGCGGCCGTTTTGGCGGGGCGGTGGCCCGCAACTATGCACCTGGGCGATCGACGGAGCGTGCGATGACGTCAGGCCAGTCTCATATCGTAAGAAAGCATATCGGATTGGCAAAGCTTAGTCGGAGCCGTAGTAAAGATTGCAACGATCCAATATGAGATCAATTTAAGAGATTCGTTCCGGTGATTCTGTGGTCAGACTTCTCGAAGCTCACATCATAGGCGCCCACTTGGGGGCACCCTCAGAAAATCAGACTCTCTGCATCTACCTGAGTTCCGAGTCTGCTAGACGCTTTATGGGTCCTTACGAAGATTCCCATACCCACATCAATCAGAAGCTCTGACAGAAAATATCGTATGTTCGTGCCTGTGCTACTTCAACTCGCAGGATAGAGATCCTCCGAAGGGTGAGGATTTGGAGCCTTACTCCATAGGTCTCAATTTCATGTTGAGTTAGGTGTATGTTATGTTAGGTCAAGTCCCCGGGCTCAAACAAACTAAAAACCTAAACACAAACTAACAGGCTCCGCACCCGTACCCACCCTAAATCCCCACACCAACCCCACCCGTCCCCAGGGAATGACCTAACTCAACATAGCCGTAAGTCAACATACAATCGAGAGTACTACTGTACTTATTCCCAGGGTCTCTACGAGGATGGCGCTGGGGGCGACCTACCAGTCTGCGGTGCTGTTTGCGAGGGTCGCCTCCAGCCAGTCTAGGTGTGCCTTGCCAGCCTGCACGAGGATAGATGACGGACTAAGCTAGGGATAATAAAAGCCAGGGTATATAAAGCTCCATCTAACACTGAAACCCTAACCCAACAATCTACCTGCTCCGCACCCGTACCCACCCTAATCCCCAAACTAACCCCACCCGTCCCAGGCTGACGAGCTTATTATACCTGCCGCTCATTGTTCATAAGATAGTCCGAAAGAGTATAGGGCACAAGGAGCCGCGTTCGGCAAGGCAATGATAATCTATGTGTTACCTTTCGCGTGAATCGAAAATATAATGGATGACGGAAGGACTCTGACAACTCTCGGGTGAATTTAGAGACGTGTGACTTAAGACAGGCGCTCAAGAGACGCGGGGGTTGCGTAAGCTGCTTAGGGTGGGTTGGGGTGCGGAGCGCGTGGTTAAACTAAGTGTTCATCTCGGTTATATTTTCTAGTTTATGTGCCCGGGTAGAACTAAAATGTTAGGTCGCACGACAGTTGCCAATATGACGGAGAAGGCGACAAATCACGCACTGGTCTTCTGATGAGGGGTCAGCGAAGGGCTGCAGTGGACTGGACTTGTGTTGCCTGCCGCCGAACTTTTATCAACGGGAAAGAGTGGTGGGAATCGACCGTTCACATCCTCTTCAAATCCCTGCTACGCAAAAACACCCTCCAGAACAACTTCGCTGTATCATAGTCACAGGGTACCCGGCAGTGTTTCATAGGGAAGCATGCCGTGAACAGTCGAAACAGCAATCACCTTTCAACAACAGCTTTGAAGGCAGATTACAGCTGGGAGAGATGAGAGGGACGTTGGCCCCGAACAAAGGGCCAAGTCTCGCTTCATGATCAGGAGCACAATCGAACGAGCAAGGAACTAGAAGCGGGGGCCCACAAGCAGGAACGTAGTTCTGGGAGAGCGGAGAATGACCAGCTACGAACTGAAAAAAAGCCGAAGGAAGAGGGTAGAAAGCAAGTGAAAACTCACAAACGAGGGACTAAAGGAGAAGCGAGGACTAGAACGGCTGCTGACCTGTGCGTCCACCCACTGCTGCGTGTAGTCGTTGAAGAAGCGTCGCTCCTTGGGCCCCACCGCCAAAGCACCCTGCACAAGAAAACTAAAGTCTATGACTTCCAGAGGATAACGTGGGCTTTTAGTATTTCCTCTGCTCGAAGCAATGCCTAAGTGATGCTACCACCCTGTCGATCGGGCAAGGAGTAGGACGCCATCGAACCTGAAAGGTTGTACGTACAAGTGGTCGGACATTGCATCGTCCGTCGAGAAGCTTCGCCTCTGCGAATCCGCTTTTCTTTTTGCCGTTTCAAAACGCGCTGTCAAGGCTTCGATGCTTATATTGGAAACCTAGATCGAACAAACTGACTGCTTTGTTACTCAGAATGCCAAAGAAATCGAGGATAGGAGGTGCCGTCGCTCGACACATACATAAGGCTTTATCTTCATCTAGGCAATGCAGATGATGTCACGCTGACTGAGAGCGCAATGCCACGACGACATCGATGTTAAGAGCGTCAATTGGTCGCAACCCAATGGGCTAAGAACGTGCGTCGTTGCAGCAAATCCTTGAACGCTTTTGAGCAAGGGTGACGTCATGCTAACCTCAAGGGCGATGCTGTCGGTGACGACGATGTCCAGGTGGCGCTCTTCGCTGAGCGCCACCTGTTGCAAGTAGTAGGGGCTGGGGAGGTGCCACCGCTCCGACCGCTCCGTGTAGAGCAGCTGCGCTGATACGTTGCCCCGGTGGTCGTGATCGCCCAGGGTTATGTACCTGGTCAGTGAGGAAAGTTTTGTTAGCTAGGTGAGGAGAACACTGGGGCTGAAGACAAGAAATCAAAAGAATGAAAAAGAACCAGGATTTAGAAGTTTCGGAATTGAGCTGCGCCAACACGTCGTGGTCGCCCAGGGTTATGTTCCTGATTAGTGTGGAAGGCTCGGTGAACGGGTGGGACCACTGCCCAATTAAGGTCAAGGAAGAGAGTGGTAATAAGTCGCGGGTTGAGGATCTTTTGCTCTGAGCTGCGGCGACACGTTGCCCCGGTGGTCGTACTCGCCCATGATAAAGTGCCTGTGAATGGGGAAAACTTCGTCAACCAGGCGGCAGTGACTCTGGGTTTATCACCTAGGAGGCCGTTGCGGTATGAAGTTGGACTTGGTGCGCCGACACTGTCGTCCCGGTCGTCGTTGTCGCCCAAGGTTATGTACCTGGTTAATGGTTGAGGCTCGGTTAACCAAGTCAATCGAGTTCGGTTTAGGACAAAGTTGGTGCTTGGAGACTGGAAATGACCGCCGAGATGCTTCCACGAAGCTTCAAACTTCACGACCTGTTGAATTCAAGCGCATCGACAAATCAAGGACATTGTTAAGGTGACAAAATCTCGTCGTAGGCATCCTCCCTTGCATGTCGTCAAATCCGCAGATCGGATGTTCAAGATACAGCTGTTGACCGGATCCGAACGAAGGTCGCAGGGAGTGCCCTTGTCTTGCGGACACTGCTTACATGCCCCGTTTCCCTTCTGATTGCAAGTATATGGTGAAAAGGCGACGCGAATCAAGCCGGAATCATGAGTATCCAGTCTGCTGGGCGCTTCTGTAAGTCGAATCTTTTGAGCACCCAAGACGGACTTAGGAAATTCATCGTCACATCAGCACGCCGTGCTGAAATCAGGACTTCTAGCGAACTTCAGGGTGCTCTTTCGCTTTTCTCCCCTGCGTTGAGGTCCTTTGTTTCGGACCACTGATCGGACCGTTTACAATTCAGGGACTTCCAAGCAATGTAAAGAGAGCCCTCTTTCCCGATCCACAAGAGCAGAGATGATATTTTGGAAAAGGAGAATTGCAACCAAGCGCTACTTCGTGTCCAAAACGCGGGGCCCGAGCAGGGGGACTTACCAGGGTACTTGCAGACTTGGGTGGTGGTAGACCGCCTGTTAGGAGAGGGGAAGAGGAGCAGGATTCAGTTTCTAACCTTATAAGCATATACCTGACTATCTCTTAGAAGCAAGCTTTATGAAAGAACCTAGAAGAGTCGATCAACAAGACCGTTCCAAAACCAACATGCGCTCTTTTCAACAACCCTCTCGCAAATTGAACCTGCTAATAACCCCTTGAATCGAAGGCTCTGGTTCAAGATCCAGACAAGTGCAATTTAGATGCACGCCGATTGGCAACCTTCATAGTTCTGGGGAAGATTCTTGTTTAGACTCTATTAGATTCTGGGGAAATTGTCGACAGTTTCTGATCTTGCCAGACGTGGGTCCTGCGACTTGGAAGCACTAGGCTGATGCGAAATGTTCAACATGCTCCAAGCAGGCAGATCAGGTCGTTGGGGGCACAGGACACGCAAAGATGGTATGGCGATTGAGCTGGTGTTAAGAAGTTCGACAGAGCTTGGATTTGCACACGGATGCGAGCGCACACTTACCTCAAAGCGCTTTTGCCAGATTGGATCCTCCAAGCTCGTTACACCTGGAAAAACGAACGCGCTGATTAGTCATGCGCTTTTTGTGGGCAGCCTTCACGGACAACAAGTGTTATGTAATCCTTTGGCTCAGCCAGAGAAGAGACAAAGTCCACGTTGCTGTGTAAGACGTGCCAGCAGCTCCTTTGGTCGGATATGACAATCCCCTTTCTAACCGCTTGGCGATTGAGGGTCTATGTTAAGCTGGTCGTCTCCCATGTTAGAACATCATTTTGCACACCGGAATGTCCCCGTTCTTTTGCCTCGAATATCAGACTTGCAAGTTGGTTTGCTCGGGACTTTGGTATGGTCTAGGCAGAGAGCAAACGTGCAGTGGAACTCTGTGTCCGCAGACTTCCAATCAGAGATTGTAGAGCAAGAGTTTGCAAAATTGTACCTCTGGAGTAGAAGTTGTCTCCTAGCGTCAGTATGAACTGTACCCCGTACTCCCCCACTGTCTTTGCCAGCTATACATGTACAGATCAGTGGGTCAGGGATACTCATTAAGAGGCAGCAAGATAACATTGGGGACTGATTGCAGTGACTAGGCTAGTTGCAATGGAATCTGCACATGATGAGATTGAAATAATTGCATGCTAGCTGCCCGGAATTGAAAAGATTGTCGTTTATCAGAGAGTCTGCTCATACCTGGTCTGCAACAGCTTGCTGTGTCGCGTTGCCAGCTCCATAATCCCCTGCAGATGTTCAAAAGGACAACACTGAACCTTTAAATAGACATTTTGCGGTTGGTTCTCTCAGAGACACGGTCTCAATGCATGCATCATTGAGCACAAGCTCATGGTTGCTTACGCTATCTTTTGCGCGCACATTGAGGATATTTGGGAAAAAGTAGCTACTTTAGGAAATGCCATTGTTTGTTTTGACCACAGCAGATCTTAAACAATAGAAAGCAGCCTTCCTTTCGATGCACACATTCATACTACTGACCCAGATCGTCTGAGCCCTTTGATAAGGAGAGCTCAGCTGCCAAGCACGTCCAATGAGGGCCCTGATGTTGAGGCAAAAGCAGATCAGCATCATCCAGCTCACCAAAGACAGGTCAATTAGACAAGATCCTGTCAGAGTCTGATTGTATTGTCCTGAATTGAAGTTGATCAGAGCTCAGCTGACACCACTTCCTGGCACTCGCTCACCAATGCTGACAAAGTACAAAGGCTTTGTGCTGTGCAACTCGTGATGGTGTCGCGTCAGATAGAGGAGCAGCCCCAGAATGCCAGCCATCAAACATAGGGTACGCAGTAGGGGCCCCCTATGGCCCCTCAAAGTCCGCAGGTAGCGGCGCACCTCCTTCATCGACTTCACCCGTGCAAGAGGCCTCGCCAGCTTTACGAGCTGACGGCACCTTGTGCTTGCTTTCTAGAGCGATAGGTAGCAAGAGGCTTTGATCTTCACTTGACAACTACGGCCAAGAGCCTGCTTTTCCAGACTATCGTTGTTGAGGGCAAAAAGTTTTGGATCTGGTGATAAAAAGAAATGAACTGAGGAATTGTATGGGGATCAATCGCAGAACTGACCGGCGAGGTTTTGTTCCGCCTTGAAAGGAACAGCTAACGGCTTTGTGGCAGAATAAAGAACTGCTGCCTAGGCTTTCTGCGATGCAACTGGTCACAATGCGACTTCTGTCACTGATCTGTTCTGTTGAAGGATATTGCCCAGCTTGAGCAGCTTCATGAACAGGTTCTAATTCCAACAACAAATCAACACAAAAAAGTACACGTAGTAAAATCTCATAGGTACTTTTCAAGCATATCCAGGAGATTTTGAGCCCAAAATATGCTGACATGAGGTGCACACCCCATAATACCGCGAATGTGCCGTTTCATCAAGCGCTTGGTTCAAAGAATGTTGTATCTCTGCCGTCTCTGACATCTGATATGCCGGTTTTGACGCCCATATGAATATGAAGAAAATAAGATAAATACATTAAATCTGCTGGTATTAGATTCATAGACCTGTACCCGCCCGTATAGGTATGTAGGCCTGAAACCAGAGACAAGATTTTAGAATAGTTAAACTTGGATCGGGAACCAAGCAGCAACCTCAACCTCGCCAGCAAGACGAGCACAAGCACTGGCAGGCTGTCCCGGTCCGCCTTCATTCAACTTCAAGTTCTTCAGAAGGTAGTAAGCTTGCATGAGTTTAATTCTTCTGAGACGGCGCCCAACTGCTTTGTGGAGCCTAATCTGCTCAGCGGCTGAGATTGTTAGAACAGTTCAAAGTTTTGCCCTCCTGCAACGTGTCTGCCGTCAGGGCTGCCTTTAAGCTGCTTTGTTTCGCTGTAGAGATTTTGCCCGGACGATGGGGCGGGCAAAGCAACAGCGGAAGTATGCGCAAGTCAAGCGCATCCTCAATCTGAAGGATGTGAAAGAGTGAGTAGAGATGCTTTCTGAGTCGACAAGGACACCCCGCTTGGATTGGGGAGTGAGAGGTTGTTTTTGCAGGGCCAGAAGTGGTATTTCTTGTGATAGTAGATTCATAAACGAATGTAAAAGGCTTCACATTAGGGTTTCGCTGGCCACATCTCTTGGCAGCTGCAAGATTGATCATCTATTGGCTCATCATACTGGATTGCTCGGTAATGGTGGCGATGCAGAGAGTTCTCTTCAATGCCCAAATCAGCCTTGGTATATGTGCCAAAAGTAGCCCCACTGGAGGTGGTAGGACGTCCTGTGCAAAGCTGCGGTTTATGGAAGTAGAGCTTTGACGCACTGTACAAAGACAAGATTCTGAGGAACATATTTCTGGATACAGAGTCATCGTGTGTGCAGCCGGTGTGCCATGAATGATTTTATGATAGGAGTTTGCATTTATCGAAAGTCCGTCCTTGTTTTTGCAGTCAAAAAGAGAAGGCCCTCGCTGCCGGCAAAAAGGATGACAAGCTTCCTCGAAATGTGTAAGTTGTCAGCCACAATGTTAAGTCAATTGCGGATGATTCGATTGACTTTTTTAATCAATTGCTTCGATTGAAACCAGTTGACAGCATCCACCCCCTCTATTTGTTTCAGACAGCTAGTTACTTGAAGAGGGTGTAGAGGGGGTGGTGGTACAAGACAAAGTGGAGGGGGGTCTTAGGGGTGTGTCAATGTTCTGGTTAAGACTGGAGGTGTCCGGTCAACATCCGGGCAGCCTTTCAAAAGTATGCAATGGCACGGTAAGTTGCTGTGCATAGTTGACAACCACTGCCGCACTTATACTGACAACTCTCACATAGTGCAGCAGGTAACATTCAAAAAAGATGATGATTCTTGTGATCAAACTCCCTTAGAATCCGAAACTTAGATATCTTTGGGGGGTAACTCTTGATTTGCGCTCGAAAGGGGCTTTTGGCATGGCCAAGAAGATGCTCGTCACTTCTTCTTGGGAGGGGGGGCGGGTTTAGCAAGTGTCACCGCTTGAGATTCAGATATAACAGTGAGGAAGCTGTCTCATCACGCAGAACCTTTCAAGGTGTTCCGACCACTATTTGTTTCTGACTTTCACATCATTCTCCGCAGCCAACAAGTTTCGTCCGCCCTCTTCTTCAAGTACAACACTGCGCTGGGACCGCCGTATCAAGTGCTTGTGGATACCAACTTCATCAACTTCTCAATTCAAAACAAGGTGAGCCATCTTGCAAGTGTCAGCTTGGACAAGGTCCAAAGTCATGTAACGGAGAGTCCCACGCCAGAAGCTGCAAACGTTTGCTCCGTCGTCTGCTCCTTTGACGCTTTCCTATCGTTTTGCCATGCCCTAAACGAACTCGTAAAGGGTTGGCTGTAAAGTGTATTTGGGATCCGGAAGCACTTTGATGATCAACGTATTACAAGGGCGGATTTTGGACATCTGTGCACCAGGAGCCTCGGCGGTGGTTTACAGTGGCCCTTTTCGACGGCCTTCGATGAGATCCTCGCGCTTGGTGTAATTGCACGCCAGTAGAAGACTGCATGCGGCTGGTGTCAGTTTTTCTGCTGCCTTTCCTTTCTTGTCTGGTTCCTCGTGACTCTCCGTGCTTGGCTGACCTGTTCCGCTCTTGCTGCAGCTGGATCTAGTAAAGAGCATGATGGACTGTCTCTATGCGAAATGTAAGTGGTTCCCCTTGCTTGCCAAAGCTTATCCATGTATGCTCGCGAGCAACCTTCGATAGGTCCTCTTAGGTCAGGCGCTTTCTGTCCAACTGGTGATGTTTACATGCGACATACACATGCGAATGTGTGGTTTGAAATCGAAGCGGGGCTCGTCTCGGGGGTCCTAAACAGCAGGTTTGTCTGGAGATCCTCAAACGCTTTCTACTGTTTGCAGATAATCCTCGATTTCTAGCAAGCGTGTGGTCTGTAATGGAAACAGAGCTTGTCTCAGTTCGTTGAGTGGTCTGGTCTGCGGTATATCTGAGAAACGTTTCCTACTGCTTGCAGGCACGCCCTGCATAACGGACTGCGTGATGGCGGAGCTCGAGAAGCTGGGCCAGCGATACAGGGTCGCTCTGCGGTAAGGAGCAAACACCAGGTTCCGCGTTGCCGTAGTTTTGGCACCTGTTCTCCAGCTGCTATTGCAGTCTTTCCCCAGACTGTGTCTCGAGAAGTTCTTGCTCGTCTGGGTCTCGCCGGCCCCAAGGGACGAGATAGCTTTGCAATGCGTCTGGTGCTTATGTTGAAGAGGGTTTTCAAGTCTTTACATATATGCTAGTCACAGAAGAATGGTTTAGATGTATCTTATACCAAGTATATTCTGCAGCATTGCAAAGGATCCCCGATTCGAGCGCCTCCCCTGCACTCACTCTGGGACATATGCGGATGACTGCTTAGTGGACAGGGTTCGGCAGGTAAGAGCTGTTCTGAGACTGCATGATACATCGCTAACTCAAGAAGTGTTGGCAAGAAGTGTTAACAAGTTCTGTGTTGGCACAGAGTTCAAACAGGAATAGTCTTCTCTGTAGAAATTTGCAGTTTATTTCAATGGAGGGCTCACCGATGGTTGAACTGGACTGCAGTAGCAAGCTGTAAGCTCCATTCAAACTTTCCGTGACCACTTTCATTGGAGGTACTCAACCAAGCAACCAAGGCGATTGCTGTGGCTGTCTGGAACAGAATCAGGGCAGACTACTCTCAGTTGCAATGGATACCTTCACTATGAGATTTCTTGAAAAGAGGTCGTTTGGTTGCTTGGCACCAGGGCTCAAGAACCCAAGTCGAAGATTCTGACGACTCTATATTCTGTGCTGCAGCACAAGTGCTACATCGTAGCCACCTGCGATAGAGACCTGAAGCGGCGAATACGCAAGGTGAGATTTCCGTAGGCAGGCCTTCGCCTGCTTGCCCTTCGCTCATTGATTACACCTAGCTGACGCTTTCTTGGCGACCAGAAAGCCGCAGGAAGTGCAGATTGGTCGCCGTGTCAATCGAAGTGTCGTCATCTGAGATGGTTTTTGAGCGTTGAAGGCGCTGATTCTGTAAGGTTGATACAAACACTTTCGAGCAGCGCCGCACTCTTCAGGAGCAGCTCTTTCAGAGCAGAAGCAAACAGCAGCTTTGATGTGGTAGACACGTAACGGCGTGCAATTTGTTTGTTTTGAGAGGTCAATGATTTCTAGTGACATACATCCGTCTGGAGCATATTAGTGGTCGCCCTTCTCAGAATGCTCGGAGAACTGAGCGAGGGCTCATTGATGGCTCCTTGACCGGCAAGCATCATTGATTGTTTGTCGGCGTTTTGGCACAAATACGAAGTTGAAAGAGCGGTTCAGCGAAAGAGCGTCACGTAGCGTCCCCGATCGGTTTTGAGCGAACGGTTACGGGTATCGTCTTACACTGCCCAAGGTGCCTGTGCAGATTCCTGGCGTTCCAATCATGTACATTACACAACATAAATACAGCATTGAAAGGTTGCCAGAAGCAACCATTGGCGGAGGTACGTTTCCGCTCTTCCTCTCGTCTTGCTTAAATATCATGTTGACCAGGTTGGTTGGCTTTCGTTAATGTATTTCGAACATGTAAATCTTGGAGCGCGTCAGCAGATTGACTCATTGAACGTCTGTCTATAGTTTGTACCTGTTATCTGCCTTTGTAGATCACCCAAAGAAACGGCTGATCTGACAAGTCATGCATTCTTTCTTATGCAGCTCCTAGAATGTAGGTCAAGTTCTATGTTAGTAGGCAATCGAACTGCGCTCGCCTTTTGCGGGCTTTCACGTTCGGCGACCAAACGAACGAGTATGCTGAGATGAACACAACGGAGTCATTGCAGAGTATGAATCGAAATGCTTTAGCTCCAGCGAATACGTAGAGGGACGCTACAAAGTTAACGAAGATTTAAGTGTCAGTCATTTGAAACTAAAGGCCTGTAGAGTAGGTATATCAAGATTCAGCAGCATTTTAACCAGGTGAGCGAAATTAAGAACGGACATGTACATAATTGATTGCAGAGATGCCTTCTATGTTTCAGCCACATGATGCATGCCGAGCTCATGTGCTGCCATTAAAGCCTCAGTATCCTTGTGTCTGATCGCGACTCATGTTTGCACACCGACTTGCGTCCGGCTTTCAATGATAAGCTTACACTATAAAAAGTCAATCATTAAGAATGCATGATCGCAAACCGGTTCGTATACTTATCAAACGAGCTTAAACAATGATCCGATCATGACGGTAGCACGTGGGATCATCATTGTGGTCAATGTGCAAATCATAAAGGCGATCGTTTGGCCGCACGCCGGCGCGTATACATGGTTGACAGTCGGTTGAGCCACATGCAGCTCTAGCTGGCCTGACACGTGGAGTCCATCACTCAGTGTCATGCACATGGCAGCATAGCTCGCCTGCATTCGCGTATCAGTTCACGTGCCAACCACCAGACAAACCTGTGTTTTGATTTGTGGCTGTCGACAATCCATCCTTAGAAGAAGCTCTCATGGCGTCATGTATAAACACTGACATACATAGTCACTAATCGATCCTGGCTCGACTTGACATGATCCGAACAATATCATTATGTCTCAAACTGGAACTATCCGTCCGATTATCTCTCTCTGATTGTATTAAGTAAATACTGCCACGATATCAGCGGCTTACATTGGTGGACTTACCATACCGCAGCCAATGGACAGTTGAGGCTTGTGCGCATCGGTATTTTACAAGATCAGCTAGGCACTCCCGATGCCCCTAAGCTCTTTGAAGCGTTGTTATGCATGGAAAAGACAATCCGATTTTATGCAGTGACAGACCCGTCTTTTTCTCCATGCTCCGGTGTTTCTCTTCCCAATAAAAGCCCCACCCTCGAAAACACTCGCTGTAGATAGCCATAGCAATGTTCCACGGTCGGCGACCCTTCAGTACTTGGACGTAGATCCCAGTACGGATAGAAGAAGCCACGTGTCTCGACCTGAGGTCCAGCAACGAGAGAATATGAGTTCCTTTGCATGGACGTGCATTTGTAGACAGTGGACAACAAACTAGGGCAAACCAGTTCTGGTGTTCTTTGATCATAGGCAGACAGATCAAAACGAGCAGCGAATGCTTCTGGGCACTCTTAAGTCGTTCAATCTGCTCAAGAAACAAACCTTGATAAGCGCAGAACCCCGTGCATACGCAGAAGCTGGGATCCGCTTGGCATCGGCCGTTGATAACATAACTTACCACAGGGAGCCACTGAAACGTGCCGAACGCTTGCGAACGTGCTTTACTGCTGACGAGAGCAGCGGTAGAATGACGTAGCGGTGGCACGTGCCTCAGGTCCACCAGAAGCTTATGGACAGGCTCGTATCAACCGCTCGGACGTAGTGCCACCTGGCGGTGCGAGAAGCTGAGATAAGCCGGTGACGTCACAGAGTCGGGAAGAAGACAACACTTTGGAGGATCATTACAGTGCAGTGCTTGCTGCTTTTGGGATTTCTACGAAGTGAACCAGACGTTTTGAATGAATGACACAGCACGCGAGGGGCACTGGAACGCACTGAAGTACATTCTGGATGGCGAGACCAAAAGCTTGCAACGTTTCGTCGGCCCGGCTCTGCACGTCTGTCCAGCGATTATTTCAGTAGTCGAAAATACAAAAATTGGCTCGAGGCATTATAAGAAGAGCTGAAATCTTGCATCTGAATCTGCTGACTGGTTCTTTGACTGCTTTCTGGTCGGAAAGAAACGGGCTATTCATTCGGAACGGGCCTATGACCGGACGGTTCCGGGACCCCCTGACGACAAGGCGAATTCGTTCCGGTCGGCAACTCAGCGGAACGGCCCGGCAAAACAACGGTCGTTTCCACCCGCTTTGACATGACAGCGAACTGGCAGGCGGGCCATTTCTTCGCTGCTTTCTGTAACGATTTGACTGAGTACTTACAATGCACGGAGCGAAGGGCCAAAACGGACGAATGCGACTGTCCTTTTGCTTCCCGTTAGCATCTGAGCGGACCGACCTGACCGGAAGACCGGTCCATCTCAAAGGAGTTAACAGGTCAATGGAACGAGATGTGCGAGGAAAGTGCGGTCCTGCTTCTCGTGCGCAACTGAACGGAACAACGGAACCGGAAGACCGGACCACCTCACCCCATTTGATCGCCTTGACAAATAGTAGCGGAGCGGTGACGTGTGATCCGCCTCCACAATTTTCCGGTTGCAATCCAGCGGAACCCCTGGCCAAAAATCAACCCACGATGAAACTTACAATGTCAAAGAACTAGAGGCGCGAGCCGCAGCGGCTCACCACTTGCGCGGCACGTAGAGCATCTCCCCCGGTTGCAGCTCGCACTCCCAGAACGGCGTCCGAACAAAGTTCGGCCACGTGTCCGAAGTTTCGGACGCCTCCACGTCGACCTAATTTACATGGACAGAAACGGTCGGGTGAAGAAGAAGATGAAGGTGGGCATGAAGCTTAAGTATAAATAGTCGGACTGCCTAATGTATGCATCGATCCAAGATCACTAGTAGCGACCGCGTGGGGTTGTACAAGATCGATCAGGAGATACGAGTGCTGAAAGTGGTCAGAATCATTCGAGTCAGTCTAGTGGTCGCTGGAAACGGCAGCTATGCGCAGGTGCGGCTGCGGCTGGCTTCGTACATCTTTCAGCGAATGCTATTGTTTGCACTCGTTGCTCACTCATTAGCCGCTTAGCAGTTTACTTAGACGGCAACATCCGTCATCGGAGGAGTCATAGCGCCAGAATACTCATAGTGGCTTGCAAGTAATAAATGGGGTACGCTTTTGCATTTGCTGTCACTGACCTTGGACGTGTTACGCAGGAGAGGGGAGTGCTGGAACGGGTGCATGGCTGCGGTGTCTCGAGGATGGTATAATCGGACGTACTTACGCCCATGGATCTGCACGTCCAAAGAGAGAAGTTACGCATTGGTAAAGGCTGGCAGTAGACCGCCAGAAGAATCTCTAACTCCTTGGCGCTGGCACATGCGAATGAAGGCACATTAGATGGCATGTTTGGACAGATTGCTCGAAGGGGTAAAGACCATTTGCATCGGACGACCTTATCATCAATCTAGGCCAGCCGAGAAGCCAGGGCGAATCCGTGTCATTAAAAAGTGACAGGCGCCGATCTACATGCCAACAATCTTGGCCTCGAAGCGCAACTCGCCAATCCGGACTGCCTTCGCAGAGCTGGAACGTACTTCGAAAATCCTGGGAGTAATATCCCCCAACCTAAGTATCACTTGCCTGGGCGAAGAGGTTGTGATAAGGGTCCTGGTGCAGGGGCGTGCTCATTCCGGCAGGTCCAAGCCAGACGTTCTTTTGGTGGAGGCCCTTTCCGGCCTTGATGTAATCAGGCTCTCTGCAACGATAGCAAACGGACTCTTACTCCAACACGGATAATATCGGATGCTTGGATGAAGGCCAAGCCGACTACCAACGAGGACTTGAGTGGGACTTGAGTCGTTCGACTTCTGTACTCGTAGAAGTCAGGTCAAGTCGAAACTGGCAACTCGCGAAAAAACGTTTTCGGTCTTTGCAGGACAAACTTCATTCAATGACTTAGCAGATTGCCAGCTTGACAGACAAAATCAGGGTCCATCAACCAGGAATCGAGCAAAACCTTTCGCAGGGCCTTTTATCATAGTAGCCTGAGAGACGATTCCCTTTCCTTTGAAAAATGTCGAAGGCTGATGTCATCGGCGATGCCTCTTACATCACTGCTGACGTCATCTCAGGGTTCTCGTCAAGGAGGCTGTGCTGGGCGAGGTAGCCGCGCCACTTTGTGTTAACATCGGGGTGTGCGTCTTTGTTGAGCACGAAGGTGTCGACGAAGAAGCTCAGCGGCACTGGGGAAAAGAGATTGACAATCTTTCAGTTGAAGAAGGAGCATGCTTTGACTCTGGGTAAGAGCTGGGAGTCCAATTCCTGTGAGGATACTAGGACCCTGTCAATCTAGTAACATGTCAGTCGCCTTCATATAAGGAGTTGGTGTGTTTCAATAATGTTCTATGATTAGCCTGCAGCTATTGGAGAAAAGTTCAAGGACGCATCACCCACACTTGAGAAACAACATGAGTTCACTGCCCCTTGAAAGTCACAAAATGGTCGACCTTTAGTGGCCTTGTCTGCACGAGAACACCTTGTTCATGAAGTTCTCTCCTTGTTGTGCTTCTACGAAAAGGCCTAGCTCATCAGGGAAGCGAGTCTAACCGCCGAACTCGTCAAAGAGGCGTCAGGCAACTCGAAGCTGAAGGTCTCAAAGAAGTAGAGAGAAGGTTGAATATCCAAAAGCGGTACTTTGTGGCCAACAAGAAGCATGACGAGAGAGAGCAGTTCGTTGGCGCCTGATTCTACAGTGTCAAAAACAGACCCCCTAAACAACAGACTTGGAGCCAATTGCTCGAGAGCAGCCTTCACAAGAAGCAATTTTAAACCCCTTGCTCACTCTCTTGGTGTGGTGCAAAAACCTCCTCCCCTCCAGTGGCCCAACCATCAGCAGGCTCGGCATACAGATCTCTATAATCACCCCAGCGTTTCAGCTTCTCACTCCAACGTGAAATTTCCACTGGGACGGTGATATCTGGAAAGCGACTCGCCAATGTTGTTGGAGTCCAGGTGGCGGCAGGCCATTTGCTGATTGCGTCAGTGATGATGACTGGAGATTCCACCTGTGCAAATGTTGATGCGAGCCCTTTCTTTCACACTGCAAGCTTGCTTCACGAAAAGAGTCCAGGATAGCGGAATGATTTGACTTGGGTCTGCCATGCAAAATCTGTGGGCACAATAAAGCCCCCGGTTGATGTTGGTTTACAACCAAGCCCCAACTGATGAGGTCAATGACACAGAAAGTTGGTACTGAAACTTGGACTCCATTACGTGCGTTGAAGTGACAAGAAACCCCTAAGGAAGGGGCATCATCATAAAGCAGCAAAAACAATCTTAAAAACCTCATGAAAACACTTAGCTTGAGTGTTGTTTTATTTACTCATCTTTGCCCTTGTAGAAAAGAAGGAATTGCATGTTTTACACCTTTACTTGGAAGAGCACTCTCAGATATGCACGTTATGTAGGTTCTCATACAGTTCTATCCAATGCTGAGACTGATCAACCATTTACCGGTAAGAGTCTGATGATTCCAAGCAATGCTGTCATTGGGGCAACCTTGTCAGTGAAGGTTTACCTGAAAGAAGCTCTTGGTAAACGTTTCCAGATCTGGTTGCGGGACTCTGCGGATTCCGCATGCGGAGGCAGTGCTCGTAGAAAGTGTGCGGGCAGCGTTGCGCAAGAGGAAAAAGGGCTTCATTGGGCAATCATACGAAGGCTCAACCTCAAAGCTACTTCCCAGATGCAGAACGGCTCACAAAGTGCATCATCCGGTGAATATTCCCTCCCTGGCCTAAGGGGAGAAAAGCGCCAATGACAGAAGCAGCAGACTGCAGAGTTCTCGGTTGCTCCGACTGGACGTTCAGCCTTGTCCTCGGCCCCCCTGAATTTCAAATGGGCACATCGAGACGGTCCGTGGATACGCAACCCTTCAAACGGTGCATCTCCAGCCGTCGGATCTTGAGATTCAAACTCTTCGCGGCAGACTTCAAAAAGTCCACGTACGAACGTCACTGCCAGGAAGTTGATGCAATGCCCACCTGGTGCCAGTGGAGCCCAGACTCTAAAGCCTAGAGTACCGTAGCAAAGCTCCGAACCAGAGCACAAGAAGAAAGGAGGACATGCGCCCTTGGTTACCATCATTCCTCGACCTCTGAGTTTGGGCTGGACGCTTCCGGCCTGCATGAATGAGAAAGGTAGATGAGCGGACAACTTGTCTGCACAACGATGGGTAGTCGCTAGTGATCGCACTTGCGTTTACAAACGGCGAGCCATGATCCAGAGAAAGGGACGAAAGCGTCAGCTGGCGGGCTGTGAGGTTGACGAAGATGTGCCACTAGTTCTCCTAGCCAAGAGGGTGCAGCCCATCAAAATAGGTGACGGTGCAAAGAGACGACCCCAAGCAAGGGAGAACGACATTCCTCTTCTGCCAACGAAGATGGCCAAGAGAGTCTTGGGTAAAAGAGATCCTCAGGATGGAGAAACTCGAGAGGAGCGCGCCAGAAAGCGGAAAGCAGTGGATATGTCCAAACAAGGCCAGAAGCCCAAAGCTAGAGTGGTTTTAAAGAAAGAGGCGGGCTGTGTTAACCCAGAGAAGCAGAAGGGCAAAACGGATGCTGCTTGCTTGCTTGCGCCTGCTTCGGCCGGTTGTGACGCCCAGGGACTGGGGACGGCGCAATGTCAGCAGTTTCAGCTGCCGGCAAACTCGTCCTTTGCATCAAGTGGAGCGGGCGGCCTGGAGAAGATGGAGGTAGATGGGGCGACAAGCCCAGTGAAACGAGCTTTGAGGGGGGCAGGTAAATTTTGATACACTCTTGACGGCTGTTTCAGGCGCTGTGTCGGTTCTCCATGATGGTAAACTGCTTTGTACGACTTGAAAATGAGTGGTAAACTTGTCAATGAAATGATTGCAGCTGTCATGCCTTCTTAACTTCCTTGGTGGGTTGCTTTATTGAGACGCAGTCGTCACTTCCTTGCAAGGGCAACTTATGAAGTGCACCGAGAATTTGAGAGTTGTCACCAATATTTCCACCAATTCGTATGCCCGATCAGGTGGAATTTGCCCCGACGTCCTCAGATCTGCTTCAGAGTGCGGGCTGGAGTGTTCCGCTGAGGACTGCAAAGAGCAGCCTGTTCTCCTTCCCGCTGCCACTAGCGCTGACCTCAGCGATGCACCCCTGGGGCCAAGCGGCCACTTGTCATCCTTTCTCCGCGACTCGTTTGAACTGTCGAGCTGCCCCCTGCAGCAGGACAGTTTGAGAGGCGCTGAGTTGCCAAACCCTAACCTGGGGTTAGGAGCAGGGTTAGGGGTAGGGGTAGGGGTCCCCTCAGCAGAGAGGATCACCACCCCGGATCCAGGAAGTGTCGGAGACCGCAGCCCCTCGCCAAGCTCCCCTTCTTTGGCACCATTTGTAGACGCGCCTCACATGGCACCAATCACAGAAACGCCCAGAAGGAAAAGTGCAGCATCAAAACCGCCCCTAGAAAGCAATGCTGTGGGGGGGAAGCTTCCGGAAGCGCCAGGTGTCGCCCCGCCAAGCAATGCTGTGAGCCGGAGGCACATGCCTGAGGGCGCCGCGTTCCCCCTGGAAAAGTTCCAGGCAGAGGAACTAGTATGGGCGCGTACGGGCACGCGGTATGACCCGTTTTGGCCGGCCAAGGTGGTGGAGATGGCGGATGTGCCCGAGGCCGTGCGGCGCTCGTTTGTACCTGACGCGCTGTGTGTGGAGTACTTTGGGCCGTCGTCGTCCAAAAAGTGGGATAAGGTAAGCAATATAATACTTCGTTATACGGGGCTTCTTTTTTGAGTCTTGTCATTGTCTCTTCTCGACCAAAGGGCTTACGACCTTCGTCTCACCCACTCGGTAGCGTGCTTTTCGTGTATTATTATTATTCTTATGCTCCACTCCCTTTCGGGTAGCTACTCCATTCGTGGCTCTAGCGTGCCCCACTTAGGTCAAACACTTTCACTTTACTTTGCTTTAATCTACCTGAGTTCTAAAGATTACCAATACTCGAAGGTCACGTTTGGAGAGTCCATTTCTTACGAATGGAGGATGTGGGTCGTGCTAATGAGCCAGGGTTCAAGAGAGGTGTGCCCATCATGCTTTCGAAGAAGGCCCAGACTTGAAATTGCGAGTGGTTGAAGCTTAAAGCCATACCATGAAGAACTAGAAGGGTTATTCTCAAATGCTAGGCCCCAGGTGAAGGAGTGCGGTTATACGTGCTGGGGTAAAGCATGTGAGAGTTTTTGCTATCAGCAAGAGGGTGTCTTTCTTAGCGAGGGGCATGCTGACCCATCTGCTCCTTGCTAAGAAAGACATTCTCTTGCCGATAGCCAAATTGGAACCCCGGTTGATTGCTCCAGCGTCGGTGCCCCTTTGCTGGGGTCGATAATTGCACTGTCCTGGGTGCTTGTTTGCCGGACAAAACCTTCGCTGCTGACTTCAGACAGAGGACTGGACTCTGGAGAATTTGTTGCTCGATAGATCTGGGGGCTTCCAGGCCGCAACCTCACGAGTCTGGCTTTGCGGCTGTCGTTTGCAGGATTACTCGTGGGTAAAACGAGGCAACATATTTCCCTTCCTCGACTTTGCAACATGGTGAGTCTCGTCCTCAATTCCGGTCATGAAATCTATGGCCGACTTGAGAAGAAGCAGACTCTAGGAGACTTTTGCAAGGACTTTCAGAAGGTTCATTGCCGTGATGGTTGCTTGGATCGTTGCAACGGAAGGAAGAACGCTTCTGTTGGCCCCCCCCTTGGACTCCCTTACCTCCTACTGTAACTTTCCCTTCTCTTCCCTTAGCCGTCTGCTAAAATACCACTCGTATGTCTCTCCTCGCAGGTTCTGCGGGCAGGATCTGAAGAAGCGCGCCAAAGACTTCCGCGCCGCCGTTACGGCGGCGATGCTTTCCACCTCGCGCCTCGACGGCCACCTCGACCCGGTGCCTCCTGAACTTCGCTCTAGTTCCTCCTCAACCACAGAACCAAACTCCGCCCAACTCACAGCCCTAGCGATTGGTGCTACTAGTGCTGAGACATCGGCGGCAGGGGGCAGTAAGGAGTGCATCAGTTGTGGAGGTCTGGTGAAGAGAAAGGGGAAGCGAAAAGAGGGCCTCGACGAAGGGCATGCGGTTGACCTGGAGAAAGTCTGTGAGGCGTGCTACAAGGTAAGGAACACATGCGCTTTTTCTTGTCGTTGCTTTGGAGAGGTCACATATTGTGTGATCAGGGCTGAGCTGGGCTGGCGGGATATTTGAAACTTGTAATGTTGCGGATGGCTTCTGTACCAGGAACATCGAGCAGCAGCTAATGAGTTGAGCCGTTTGCTCGTTAGAGTAACTGCCCTCCGGACGTGTTCACCCGCATCTTTTTGGTCCTTTATATTTCATTGCATCACAGTCGTAGTCAAAAAAGGGGCTTTTACATGGTCATGCGACGGCACTGGCAATCAAATTGAGAGCGATGACATAATGGCCAGTACATTTGTAGATGCTCCCTGGTGGAAAGTTCGGAATTTGAGAATCCGGGCTGAGCCGTCTCTTTCTTGTGTGCAGCTCTTCGAGAACAAGCAGTACTGCTGGGTATGCAAGCAGATATGGCTGCCGAACCAGACGGACGGCTGGGTAAGCGGAAAGCGTTCGTAACCTTCTAAACTTCCTCGGTCTTGGTCATCTGGTTATTCAAGGTGGGGAGGGTTTTTTCCTCAAGGGATGAAGGGTTGCCACTCTTCCCAGATGCCTTGAGAGTCTGATTTGAGTACTGAGGTCACACACATCCGCGGGCGGATATGTTCAACCCGGGAAACTAAAAGCTGGCCAATTGTCACCCCTTTCTGATCAAAAATTTTTTCGAGCCTTCTTGTCTAAGCGCTCTTGGAACCTCGAAACTCAGGGCTTGTAAAGGTGCCTGATGTTGCTTTGCTGTTCAGGAGTCGTCGTTCTTGCAGATGTTGAACCCGCTCGTTCAACGCTCTGCGTCGTTAAGGCTGTGCGTGCGGTGCAGGTGGGATGTGACAACAGCGAGTGCGGCTTCTGGATTCACGCGGACTGCGATGGCATCAGCTCAGATCGACTTAAGGTGGGTGGTAGGACCGGACGGTGTTAGGACGGAAAATTACAGTGCAAAGGCTTGTAGCCTATCGTTGCTTTCGTAGTGGATCAAGGAGTTTTTCCAGCAAACCCCTTCATCTGCTGCGGCCCTTACAACAGTTTTGCAATCATATTTGCCCAGAAGCCAGCCCGTAATGACAGCAAGCGGTTGCAGGGATTTTGGAGGCCCACGAGCCAAGACGGTTTCTCTGCATGCGCCCACCATTTCTGCAAGGCGAACATGAAATGGTCGTTGGCAGTCAGCATATCGGCAATCGGCGCGTTTCGGCAAGAGAATCCGATCCAGGGGGCCGACCGGGCCCTTGTTCTTCCTTGAAACACGCAGTGACTGGCGCTGTATCTTAAAACCAGCGCAACTGAGGCGAATCCACTTGCGATCGTGCAGGCGATGGAGGCAGAGGATGCGGAGTACAGCTGTCCGCGCTGCCGAGCCAACCAGGAGTGAGCCTCCGTTTGTTTTGTTTGTTTTGTTTTGTTTTTTTTGTTTTTTTGGTTTTTCTCCGTGTTGGAGTTGAGCTGTATCAAAGTGCTGCTCTTCTTGAGGCAACACCTCTACTTGCGTAACCTGCAGATTGATCCCATTGCACGGTGGACTCAGATCAGTCTTTCAATTGGGGTCAAACGGCTTCAGTGCACTGCATTTCTTCCACAGTCGACACAGCTCCAGCAGCAGAATTCCGGCCTTGACACCCGGCAAAGCCAGGTTTCATGGCAACTCGTTTCGCGTTCGTCCTTTTCTTGTCCGTTCGGCTGCTGTTCTTCGTCACTCATGCCTCGACGTTTCATGCAGCACACAGCCGGCGTTCGGTAACCCTAACCGCGTTTGTTTAACCTGTTTTCTCAGGACCGCGAAAGTGAGCTTGCCAGCAGCGCTGGCGGTGGAGTGCGACGGGAACGAGGGCGACTATCTTCCTGCGGAGCACATGTAAGCATCATACAAACGTGATCACAACGTTTCCAAACGTTACATTCATTCAACCTACGCATTTCTTTATGAAAATGTGGTACAGCTTCTCCCGAGCAACCTGCTAGTTTAGTGAAAACATTAGTGTAACTTAGTCGGTTAGTTGCTGAACGAAATTAGTTAAGTTAGATGACACTAAAAACTGGCAGGTTGCTCGAAAGAAGCTGCATAAAGTCTCACGTATCGTACGTTTCTTAATGGATCTAGTTGGAGTAGTAAGACCACTCGACGGTCACAGTTGGAATCCTCACCGAATTTCGTTTGTCAAGGTAGTTTCACCAGACGATATGAGGGGTCTCATCTTGCATTTACAAACCGCAAACAATCGTAGGGCGTTGTGGCAGCTTCACGATCGAAGAGCATGCTTGTCCTAATCAAGCTTGCGTGAACTTTCGTATGCGACAGACTGTATGTGCTTTTGCAGACTTAGCTATGGCGCGTTCCGAATCGAGGCGGTGCACATGAGTGAGGGCCCACTTTGAGAAGTCACTTGGAGACCCACCATTTGTTCGGCTAGGGCACAGTGTCCAACAGGTTGACATTCGTCCACCCGAATACACTACATGTTTTAAGATAGAACTTCAGAAAGACTTTTTGGGGTTCCCCGGGAATCTCTCACATCCGGCTCAAAAAAGTAACATCGACGCCCGTAAGGCGTTTCTTCCACATCATTCAGACAATCTATACCCATCTTTCTTAGGATCCGGTGCCGCTGCGAAGTGTGTCTCGGCCGGAAAAAGGTGGATCCGTCCGCCTTTGAGCGGCACTCCAAGTGTCAAGAGGCCAACTGGAGAGAGAGCATACGGGTGTCAAGGATCAAAACCAGCCTCAGCGGATGGGTGAGCCATCCGATCCAAGAAGTGCTCAGCATCTCCTTTTTATCTTTTTGATTTTGACCATAGATTCTTGTGACTACGACCACATGCTATGACAAAAAGTAGGTTTTTTGGCGGCCCATCAACACGAGAGTGACGGCAATCCCGCTTCTTTCTGTTCAAAGCAGGTGAAAGGGTGAAGCAAAGAGAGAATGCTTCCAATAGCGATGGGCACTGTAGTCTGCTGACGTCAGCTTTGCGTCAGGATAAGTTGACTGACGGACGCTCTTCGTGCGCCTCTGCTTTGCAGCTGGACATGATGGAGGGCTTCAAGGCGGAGGGTCTGGCGTACACCGCAAAGCGGACGCAGGCGGCAAAGGCACACGACGCGCTGGCAAGCGTCCAGAAGCGTCTGGACGGTGAGGAGGCTGACTTGGCATGTCTGTGCCGACTACTGCTTCTCAATTGCGCTTCAGAAAGACGTGATTGCAAGTCTGCGCTACTGGTTGTGCTGTGGAATCTTTCTAAAGAGTCTTAACGTTGAACAAGGCTTCTTGGATGGTTCGATGTGGAGTCTTAGTGGGTACTCTGATCTTTTGACACGGAGACTCCGGTAGCGGAAGGTTTTGAGTGAGCGCTTTTCGGATGACTTTTTCTGAGGGAGTCTCTTGACAAGGCTCCTGTGCTGTCCAGTGCATTGAACATTGGCCGAGAAAGAAGTAGGCTCATCTAGACCATCAGAAACGGAAGCCCCTTTCAGAAAAGGTACCATTGTCTGGTCGGGATGCCCGTCACGGGCACTGGACAGCTTATAAAACCGTATTGCGACGTCAATGAAAAGGTAAAGTCTCGCTTACGCTTTGGTCGGAAGCAACTGATTTATCCAGCTTTTTGAAGAGGTGCTTTCGTGCCTCGGATCGAGAATCATCCGCGGTTGGTTCTTTTCCCCTGCAACGAAGAATGTCCCCGCAGCAGCCGCATGTTTTTCGACGTTGCCGAAACGTTTCATTACTGACACGTGTCACTTTCCTGTTGCAGTTCCGTACACTCCGATCCACGTAAAGTGGTCGGGGGAGCGCTGCGGGGTTTGTCACTCGGAAGAAGACTTCGAGGACGACGAACTCATCACCTGCGACAGGTGCGTCAAACCCGCTGACGTCATCGTGACGTCGGTCGTACCTCTAGGCGTCACCACGGTCTCGTTGTTAGTATCAAACCTGTCCACCCCAGAGCAAGAGAGTCGCCTCCATTTGTTGCCAGGTTGCACCGGACCGTCTGCTTCCTGACTGAGAAGATTCTTATGAGTCTTCAGCCGTTCGAGGAATCTACAGGATACTTGATTGGGTCACGTCTTCTCTGGTCTGCTCGACCAATCAGGCTATCTGATGCTTTTGGTCACGTCAATTTTGGGTGCCTGCCGGTTATCGACGCCTATCTGCTCAGTAAGCACGTCTTTCTCCGCTATTCTTGGAGTGTTTCTTTTGTCTTTTTCACCCGGTTGATTACTCGTGTCTCATTTCGCTCTCTGCAATTTTACCTCAACTAAGTGTGTCATCTTCAACAAGGCTTGAAATCATTTGTCTCACTTACCTTTTTAACCCTTCCCCTCATCCCTTCCCTTCAAAGGCTCTTCTAGAGTTGAAGTTTCCGTTCCGTATCGTCCAGGTGTCACGTGACCGTTCACGAACTGTGCTACGGCGTCCGGCGATCTGCTGCCGCGGAGAAGCACTCGGGGCAGCACGGAACCGGCACGCAGTCCCCGGGAAACGCTCACCCCGACAGTAGAATCGGTAGCCCGGGGAAGCGGCCCAAGGTGTGGGTGTGCAGGGCGTGCGAGGACCCGCTTCTAAAGCCGCACTGCTGCCTGTGCCCCGTCAGAGGTGAGGGAATGTTGTCGGGTCGCTTTTACTTATGCTTCTCAACAATTCTGAATTTTGGGGGGAACTTCAAATGAAGTCGCGGGTCTCAAGGCCGGTCGTTTCGCAATGAACTTACCAGTTGTGTTTACAGGTGTGAACAATGCGCTGAATCTGATTCGTAGGGAAGTCGGCTATCGCCTTATGACGCCGCCTGGGTAGGCTACGCTCGTATCCCACTGTTTTGCTTTGACGTTTCCTGCAAGCCTTATCCCTCGATACAGCTTATCCCCCTCACCAGCAGTCTCTCTAAAGCGGCGCTGTCGAATTATCTATCCTTCTTCTTTTCTTGGAATCCTGACCTTCGAAACAGTTACTCTTGTGTTGTTCGTGGTTGATCCGCCATCTCATCATTTCGTGCTTACTTTTCCGCTTCCTCGAGAGTTGCGGATCACATGGATTCCCTGGTGTTTTCCTCGTTTTGTTCCCTGACCCTTTGCTGTTCTCTGCGCAGGGGGCGCGTTGAAGCCCACTTCCATCGAGGGGCGGTGGGCCCACGTGGCATGCGCTCAGTGGGTGACGGAGACACAGCTGGCAGATCCTGCGGGGGCGATGGAACCAGTAGAGGGCATCGAACGGATCCCCAAGGCGCGCTGGGACCTGGTAAGAGGACCGCCAGGGTTATGTGATTCGATTAATCTAACCAACTTCCGATTAAAGCTGACCGAGGTTGGTCAAACCTGCCCGCCTCGTCAAAACATGCCTGACGTGGGCGAATGTTCCAGAGGTCGGGCGGACGTTCGGTTGGCTTGGATTGGTTTCGAGCCACACGGAGAGGTTTTACCCGGAGTCCAGTAGAGTGGGGCCGTCAGGACCACTCTGCGTGGATCGTTTGGAAACTCAACTGCTCCAGGGGCTATTAAAATGCTGTTTTGAATCTTGACTGACCGACCTTGGAAGGAACGGGCTTTGGGGAAGAGAGGGAACTGAGGGGCGCCTTACCGAAGAGGTCTCAATGATATTCGCAGCTTCTTTGAACACTTCAACAGGCACCACGTCGTGATTTTTTCAAGTGTCACTGTGCGGCAAGGGCGCAAAAGGATGGATGAAGAAACATAAGGTAACTTTACCGTTGCTTAATCAGAATCCTTAGGCAGTCAAGAACTGTGACGGGCTCTTGACCAGCCTTACGGCAAAGATTCTCGACAATCCTCACGAGGTGATCCTAGCAGATATTGACCTGTACCAATCGCCACTTGCGCTCCCCCCCAGGTGTGCAACATCTGCAAGCAGCAGTGCGGCACACCGTTTACCGTGCCTCTTTCGTAGGGACAGATTCCGATTCCAAATACCCTAATAACACTTATGCACGCTTTCAACCGAGCGTTCCGGCTATCTCCCAGACGTGCCACTTATGAAAGTGCCATTTTTTTGCTTTCCCCCAGGTGTGCAAAATCTGCAAGCAGCAGTGCGGCGCGCCGATCCAGTGCCAGCAGGCGCGCTGTGTGCGCGCGTACCACGTGATGTGCGCGCGCCTCGACGGCCTCTTCATGGAGATGGTCGCCCGCAAGGACGGCATGGAGACGCGCAGCTACTGCCGAGTGCACAAGTGAGCGGCGACCGCCAAGATTGCCCGCACATGGTCTGTTTGTCATTGTTTTGCTCGTTACATACGTCAGTATCTGGGTACGAGGCACGAGTTGCTGTGGAAAGGCAAGTCGATGGTTGATATGAGGTGGTGCGGTTGAGGAAGCTTTACAGCGAAGCACGATTGGCGTGGATTCGTCGGTCTGGATCGGTATACTTCAACTGAAGCAGTCACCAAGTTCATTGCGCGACTCATCCGTGATTCTTGTTGAAGCTGTTGTTTGATTTGGCATCCCTAAACTCGTTCGAATCTGGGTTTGGAAGTCAAGCCCGGTTCTCGAAACCTGCCGACTTTAGGCAGCGCTCTGCATGTCGCAACCCCCTCCCTCTCGGTCAAAGTCATCTTCTGCAATCTCGTTTACTTCCTCACGTGGCTGTCCCGCTTCTCTGCAGAGACGCAAAGGCAGATATCCTTCCGACATCCTCATGTTGGCTGTTCCGCTTTTTGCAGAGCCGTAAAGGCGGAGAACGCGTGCGTCTCCTCCTCGCTAGACGCCGAACTCCTCAAGCGGGGGGTCGTGCCGTCGCGAGCGAAGCCAAGGGCTGCTAAGCGAACGCCAGTTGTGGGAGAGACTAGAAAAGAGGTGACTCCGTCGGGGGGAGGGTCTGCGGCCCGGTGTCGGCCATACGTGCCGAAAAGCGAGCGACCGCAGGTGGTGAGGAAGAACGCGGAAGACGACTTGCCCATTTATCCTATACTTCTGTCTCGTCCCGTTTCGTTCAGGTCGTTCCATTCTGTGTTTTGTGCTCTCGTCACTGATTGTCGCGTGTCAGTGAAATCCAGTACAAGACTTACATGAAACTGCATGCAACAACAAAGATCGAGCAGATCGAGGATCCTTTTCAATGGAGCGTTATTTAAAAAGATTCTCAAAAGGGCTATAGTCTTCAAGATTTCATATCGAGCCCTTGGTGAGGTTTGAGTTCACAAATGTACCCGCGTCAGAAGTCTGCCGATCCGGCCTGCCTCGACTTGAGCTCACTGGTATAAGGTCGTTCCTCCGCCTGCTCACCTGACTTCCACGATTTAACGCAGGGTTACAGCTCTGCGCCATTGTCTTCCCAAGTTCGCGAAACAAAACGATCTCGATGTTTACACTTGGAATTAGTCTGTAGCGAACCCACTGTGCTGCAACTCGTCTACATGCGCCCGACCTTCCAAACGCGTCCCTTCGAAAGCTTCCGTAAGAAGCGCTTGCAAACTCAAACCCTTGAACTTGTGGACTTTGAAGACTCGATTTTTGCAAAGCTGACAACGCAAACCCTCCAAACCCTTTCTGCAGTTCGTGCGGCGGCGGCCGATCCCCCAGCTGTATGAGGGCGTGGTGCGCCATGCGCGGCCGCAGTTAGAGTTTCTGCAGCAGCAGTGCGCCGTGCACACGCGCGCCGGCGACGACTGGGTAAGGCTCGACCTGCCCCTTAATCCCGGCTTCTTAACCCAGCCGCTCAAGCTTGTCAGAGATCTTCTCTGAAAAATCAACGTCAGCTACTACTTCTCAATCGGTAATCAGATAGAAATGGGGGGTCCTTGTTGGGTCCATCCGGTCACCTGCTCATGCTCAGGAGTTCACGCTTTGGTTGGACTTTACCGAGCCCACCAACGCGCTAGCCTCTTGCTTAACGTTAGAGACCAGCCTGCGCTAGATTGGACCGACAAGGTGCCCACTTTCGGTCAGGTGTAAATTTTTGGGTCAAAACAGGCATCCTTCTCTGGTTGTACGTGCGAGTTTGTGCTTTTTCGGAGTCTAGCACCCTTGTATACTGTCGCCACACTGAGTGCCTCATCGATCCTTTCAATGTGCCTGCGCCAAATTCCCTTCTTCATTCTTTCTAAAATTCTCAAGATCACGTCCGTTCCTGCAGGTCGCAAGGAGGCAGTCAGCCGCGCCAGAGGGCCTGTCGGTCTCTGGAATGATTGAGCACATGCAGGTAAGGCGACTTTCACATTATGACGTCAGTTCATGCCAGCGAACCTAACAAAAACAAAGCTTGTGAATGGATACGGTCCTTTTTGAGGGCTCTGACTTGTTTGCCCAAACCGAGCGTCAAAGTAAGCTGCGGCACTGTTGCAGATTCACATTGAGGAAATCGACCCCCATCGATTCGCCCGATGAGGAACTTCAGTGTGCTCGACAAACTTTCAGAATTCTTGTTATTGCTCCCGAGATAGTCCCGCCCTCTTTCACCATTTCCCGACGCTTTGTGGACAGTTTCGGACGCTCATGTGATGAATCCGTCCGCAGGCGACCGAGAAGTCGCGGCTGTCGTTCGGCAAGTCGGGCATCCACGGATGGGGCCTCATCGCGCGGAAGACGATTCTGGAGGGCGATTACGTGGTCGATTACCGGGGCACGCTGGTGCGGCCCAGCGTGGCCAACCTGCGGGAGAAGTACTACCGCCGAATCGGCAAGGACTGCTACGTGAGTTTGCTGCTCTACGACCCGGTGTTCTTAGCTTTGATTGTATATAACAAGTGCTTTGATTAGCAGCGTCGTATTACGAGATTGATAGTTTGTTGACAAGGTTCTGCGTTGCTGAATGCACAGACTGGCGGGACTTTGTCATCATGCGGAAGCAGAAGAAGCCGTTCTGTTCAGCGACGCGTTGCATCGGTCGCAGGCTGTCGGTCGAGCATGAGTCGAACAAACGAAGATACAATCGCCGGCCACTCCGACTAATTCTGCAAAGGATATGCGATGCTTTCGACGGCGCTCTTGGGCTATCATATTACTCTCGTGTTTGCAGATTGGTGCGTTGTATTCCTTGTCTCGTGCAGGCACGGGCTCAAGCCCTGGTCCAAACCGCTGATCCTTCCAATTCTGAACCGCTTACAAAGCAAGCAACGATAGTTGGAGCAGAGACAGTATCGGCAGTTTTTTTCGTTGCTCGCAGCTCTTCAAAGCAGTGTCCCCTTTCTTAAGCAACGAAAGTTGACACAGCGGAAACGGGAGAGCGAAGATCTCATCAGTTTCTGATTTTGCATTTGTTTTGCAGCTCTTCAAGGTCGACGACCAGCACGTGGTGGACGCCACCGAGACGGGCAACCTTGGCCGGCTCATTAACCACTCGGTAAGTATGGGGTTAACACAAACCCTCTAAGGTGACCGCGATTCCCTGCTTAGTGCGAGCAAACCTCAATCCAAGGCCCCTCAGCAGTGATAGAGTTTTGCGCGTCTGGTCGTAATGGACGCCTGTAAGATACAATACAGTTTCCAGTCTTTCGACTCTGCCGTCGTCTGCAAGTCTTTCGTCGTCTTTGCTAAGCTGAGGCTGCAAGGACACCGTCGTTTTTCCGTTCTCTAAGCTGTCGACCGACCACCGGTAATTGTTTCAAGAGGACTTCTTAGGTTCGTGATGGCAGCAGACAGTTCTCTGTTGCTCGCTGTGAACGCGCCTCGCATCTGATTCGCTTCTCGTTCGGCTTTTACAGTGCGGCCCCAACTGTTACTCTCAAATTACGCGCGTCGACGGGATCACGCGGATCATCCTGCGGGCAAAGAGAGACGTCCAAGCGGGCGAAGAGCTGACGTGAGTGGCTCCCTTGCTTCTGACACGTGGCATCAGCTCGAATATGGCGTATGGCGACTTTCCATCTTCTTGAGCAGTTTGCTTTCTCTTGTGATCCGCTTTTGGTTGCTTACGAGGGTGTGGACCAACTTGGTCTAGAATTTGTGCATTGAGCTTGTACTTTGTCTTGAGTAGAGACGAGGCGTTTTTTGCGATCTGTTCTCATCATTCCCCTGCGTGACCGACGTCGACTGCGGACGTTTGATGATCGTTGTCTGTTGCTGCGCCTGCAGGTATGATTACAGGTTTGCACAAGAGGAGGACAAAGACAGGGTGCCCTGTCATTGTGGAGCGGCTAACTGCAGAAAGTTCATGAATTGAAATTGAAAGATCGATGTTCTGGTGTTGAAACCGTGACATACAATGCAGAATGCTTCGAAAACTAGATGTTTCCTCAAGAATCTGATCTCTTGTCCCTTCGATGTGTCAGCTATTGGTGTAGATTGTAATCAGAGTCCGACCGCATGGACGGAAGGACATAGTCCCACAGTGCTCATCTTGCCTCATTGCAATCTGTGCGCTCATTGCTGCAGCTGCTATGCGGATTTTCGTTCCTGACCGTACAGGATAGGCGAATATAGCAGTCGCCGTTTTCTTGTGTGGGCAGGCTGCATAGCTATTTTCAATCAATTTATTTTAAAGTCCCGTATGAGCCATGGGTGGCTCATGACTCATGAGACAAAGTAGGGCCGCGGGCGCCATTCTGACAATCTCAAGCAAGCCGGAAGGCCCGGCTGTCCGACTCCCGAGTCTGACAATACCTAAGTTGTGACTGCACGCTGCCCCGTGTAAACTCCGGCCCGGTGATCATGAATGATATTGCCATGCACGAACTTCGGTCGGGCCGGAGATCTACCGGTCAGCCTTCATTTCTGCCGGCTGAGCGTGAGTTTTACCGGTCAGTATCTGGACTCCCTTCACGGTCCACCGGGTTTTAGGACACTCACTCACTCTGAACTCAGCCATATTGAGTCGGTACTTACTACCCGGTGGATCACCCCTTGCCCGGCCGATATCGAACCTACCCTTGGACCCTCGCTCCAGCCGGTCGGCGCCGTCTACTCTGCGCCGGCCCAGTTCACACTGGTGACTGCACAGTGTGCAAGATCTGTTTGCCTGGGGCGTCGTAATCATTGCCATACCTTACGGTTCGCACTCTATCCGGGTTGATCTGGGGCAGAAATCAACCGGCATGTGCAAAGGGTCGATAAGGATCGAGTTTTGTACATACGTATGAGGAATTGCTCCTTGTAAGGAGGCATCCAACCGTAGAGGAATGTTGTCCATGTACAAAGCCCCGGGGGCCATCAAAAACCTATGGGGGAATGTGACCGAATATTGATCTGAATTTTTACAGGAACAGCCCGGGGCAATTGCCGATGGCACCCCGGGGTAAGCTTCCGCCCACCACAAAGTGCACAGTCCTCTGATACGACAGTGCCTTTAATAAGGAACAGTGCCTTATACGTGCACAACTCTATTTTTATAAGGCTTGCACATGTGCGGAATCTGCGAAGCACGTCCTGAATCTGGTTGGATCAGAACTCACGAGTCAGCAAGTCACAGCATTGTGATAGGACCCTAAACTTTCATGGGGGAGCTGGTAATTGCTGCAATTGCTGGCAATGCTGGGGTCGTGAAAGCTTGCCTTTCCAAATAGACACAGTCCCTCTAGCTCGAACACGCCTGCATTGATGTCTTTTCCCGAGGCCTCACATTCTTGCTGCGACCAGGTTGTGTTTTGGACCGCCATTGTTTAACGGCGCACACAAACCTCAAAATGAACCGCCTGTGGAGCCTGTCCGACCGGAGGACAGCGGCAAAAGTGTCAAATCTTGTCCGTTGGCTGCAGAGCCGGCCGCTCAGCTCGCTGCTGGTTGCCTGCATTGCTGTAAGCTTTTACGTGGTCGGGCTACTGCATGGCAGAACGAGCAAAGCGCACATAAGCATTGCAACTTTGTACACAAGCTCTGGGAGCGAGGTTTGTCCGCCATGTGACATTCCTGAGGGGCTCAAGGCGCTGATACCGGCCTTGCCGAGCAAGTACGAAGACCTATTGAAGAGCACGGCAACGCGCTGGCTGACTCCATGGGACAAGTACGATTTTGAAAGCGCGTCGATAAGCACCAAGATGGTTGATAACCTTTGGGATTACATGGTGAGCCGACGTGGACTGGCCTCTCTTTCAAAATGGCCCGCAAGGATTGTCAATCAAGTCTCAAACTTTGAAAGATTGGTTCTCAGCTATGGATGAAAATGCCTCCCAGAGGTTTTCGCCATTCTTTCTGCGGCAATCTGCTTCAACGAAGACACCAGTCTCGCAGGAATTCATCTGTTGCAAGATTCTACTGCCGACATCCGTAGCAATGAGGGAGGTCTTGGAGAAGTTGTGCATTCTTTCGAAAGCAGATTCTGTTGAAGCGGGCGTAAAGATTGTGCGGATTTTGCAAATACATGCTGTTTGAATTCTTTCCTTCCCGGCATCAACCGTAAAGTCCGTGTGGCTTTGAGACGTGCTCTTGAACGCTAAGAGAGCACAGACTGTGCATCAATGGCATGTCCTTTCAGCATATGCCAAGGTCGGCTGAACTCTCTGTCCAACAACGAACCGGCAACTGCACTTCGCTCCTGCAAGATTCTGGATTCTCGCCGATGAATTGGCTGAGTCCTATTGCACGCTTTTGCAAAGCAGGCCCACCAAAGTGGGGCACGCTAGTGCCACGAATGGGCATTCAATATCCGTTTGAATAAAGCTGCATAAGTATTGCCAAGTCAGGAGGTTTCTTGCTACCGTAATTCCCTCAGCCGCTCGATTAGAAGCTTCACCATAGCTGGCAGCAATTCAAAGCTTTCTCTATTGTGAACGTTGATTCTTCTGTTCCTGACACCAACTGCCACTGTGGATTCCTGGGTTTTAAAATCAGCTGAACGCCCTTTGACGACCATCACATCCACTTCTCCTGACTGCTCACATGACTGCTCTCATGAGAGGCACTTTTTTTGAGAAGTTAGGTCTTTGGGGCAACTCTGCTTCTCTTGGAAACAGGTAGGTCACATCAAGATGATTGATGCCATTCTAGAAAGCCATAAGGTGAGCGACAGCCCACTGAACACCGCCATGATTTTACCGCACTTTTCCAAGCCTGACTCTCGCGCCCGGTGTCAACAGCTGGACCGCGGCCACTCCCACTCCTCCTTCCGAGTCCGCGTCATCAACGGCTCCCTCATCTGGCCCCCGACGCTGATGCAAGCGGCGTTGCAGGCCAACATTTACTACATGCCACGTGTCCACCACTGGCACAACCTGTTTGAGGCCCTCGAGGCAGCGCATGGGCTCCCGGACTATCTCGACATGGTCATAAGCATCCAGGATCGCCCCAAGCTTTTTCGGGCGCCCTTTCACATGGACAAGGCACCGCTATTTGTTTACACCACCACATCCGACTTTGCTGAGATCCCACTCCCGACGACCGAGTACTATGGCAAGATCAAGCAGCTGCTGCCGTCGGAACTAGAGGATGCGCAGAGGTGGGACGGGCGCACCGCTAAGGCGATCTGGAGGGGCTCTCCAACAGGTGTGTCGGCAACACTTCGATTCTTTGTTTCTGTCCTAGTTACCGATGGGGTTCTGAGTCCTGGGTTCTGTATCTGTACCGCCAAAGGACGGCTTTGCTCAAGGGGCTTTGGCAGTGGCACTGAGACCGTGAACACCGGCGAGGCAGTAACAACCAACGTATGCCAGTTTACGTGCTGTTGGTTTGCAAGGCCTGACCTCTCGATCGATGGAGCTGGCTCGCATCTCACACCCACAGGCTTAGGAACTCTATTCACTGCATGGGCCTGATGGACACCCGTGCTAGGTACCAAAGGATTTGCAGTCGTCATGGAGACAATTTGTGTTCGATATCGTGTTTCAATCCGTATAAGCCAGGATCTGCCCAAGGTGGAGATCCGGAGATGCTCTTGTTGAGTTGTAATCTCATTGCTTGAGACGGTGCTGTGTAATGGCCTTTGAATTTTGGGTGCAGCGTTGTAAAAGGTATTTTTAGTTTCCGGTATCCTTGCAGTATTGCAATCCTTGCTTTGGATTTCAGCAGATCGTACTGGGGGTGGTCGTAAACTTCGGTTGTTGGAATACAAACGAATACAATATTTGAAGTTGAAGGTAGACTCGTGACGAAGTTTGGGAGGCAATTTTTGCTAAGTTGGATCAGGAACGGGTGTCAAATCTTTCGTTCTTGTCTGAGCCAGCACGCTTACGCATGTAAAGCAACGAAACTGCAGGGACAGGTCTTCTTTCGTAAACTGGTTATATGAATCTTCAATTCGCCCTCGCTTCAGGTGGTGAGTACACCAAGGAGAACTTCTGGCGGTACCCACGCACTCATCTCGTGAACCACACTCGGGCGAACTCGGATATTTTGGACGCGAAGTTTCTACCCTGCGCGCCAGGGCAATGCTCAGAACAGACCTTCCAGGCCATGAAGGAGGCTGGGCTGCCCACCGATACAAAGCAGTTCTCTTTTGGGGAGTTCACGTCTTACAAATACCTGATAGATATCGACGGAAATGCATGGAGCAGCCGGTATGCGCATGTCTTGGCCTGCGGAGCTGTGTTTTTCAAGGCCAACTCGCCATACACGGAGTACTTCTACGACTTCCTGACCCCGTACAAGGACTATATACCAATAGCAGAGGACGCGTCCGACTTGCCAGAAAAGCTTCGCTACGCAGTGGCGCACGACGAAGAGATGCGGTTGGTACACCAGCGGGTGTTGGAGAAGTATGCTAAGCTGATAGGGAACGGGAACTGGTTGAAGTATGTTCACTATTTGCTCTCGGAGTATTCCTCCTTGCTAGAGCGGCCTGCAATGATGCTAACCAAGGACGTAATGAGATTTACTGGGTCTAGCTAGCATTACGATGAAACAAAGACGTTGTCTAGTTAGGTTGGTCAACTATGAATCATGCATGCTTGAAAGAGCAAAAGCTTGAAGAGTAGAAATTCGTAATGAGTAAGCAACATACAACATACAAGTACGTTATAAGCGTTCTCGAAGAATCATGCATGCATCATTCGATAAGTTATAGTAAGGATCGCCGATCATGTGCATGGAGCAAGCGCAATTGAACGCATTGTCGCGTGCTGTGTATAAGTGTGCAACTTGGCAACGTGCATGTCATGACATCGTGGCGGCCGCGGCATGCAGCCGGCCGCCTATGCATGATACATATTGAGTACGTGGGCATGCCGGCCCCCTTAAGCACGTTTGAGATCCAATTCTAACATATACAAGAGCACATGGCCGCCGGGCATGGACCGTCTGGGGCACATTTAGCTTTACCAGCCAATGTTCACGTAGAGGTTGCACACATGTCGAGTCCGACTCAATGATGTAAATAATATATGTCACTTATGTCTTCATGAATTGCAAGCGCGGCGTGTCCGTGGCCAAGTCAAAGACTAACTAAGGATCGCGGATCCGGCCGACCTGAGCGCTATAGCGACATTCAAATTCCAATAAACTATCCATTGAATGGCACGAGCTCCATGAGCTAGTAATTGCATGATTGGAGACACCTCTGCACGTGTTCGGTCTGGGGTCGAGTGGACTCGAGATATAGGCACGGGGCTCATTGGAGTATCAGGTGCAGCTTGTATCTTCAACTTTCAAGTCCGGTCATGATATGTCGTTTGAAGTTTCAATCTTAAAGTTCGGCCGCGGCCGGCTCACGCTCAGCTCCAAGGAAAAGTCTATATGTTAGTACAAATCAACAACATCAATTTGTTCGGTCGATCTTTGGACACTTATCCTTACAGCAAAGCACCATAACTGTTTCTTAGAGTTGGCTGCAACATAGCCTTTTGAGGGCTAGCTAGCTCTTTCATTGAACGCCCGACTCGAGTGTTTTTTACTATTTCACTTTGACTTTGAGTTCCGTACAAAAAAGTGTTGTGCAGTCACACGTCTTCAACACTGCATGCCCTACATACCTCGTTAGTGTCTTCGACTGTTGACTCATCTTCAAATGTTTTAAGCAAGCTGCTCGCTTGCAGCCCTAGAACAAAAGCCTACTTTTGTTATCACTACACGCAACTCAGTCATTTCGTCCTAGATGTGTGACCAGCTTGTACCAGTAAGATTCTCACCTACTTATGTAGTATGCCCAAAACTTCCGCAAAGCAGAACGCTGCATCGTTCTGAGTGAGACAAGTTAACCTTAACCTGACTTTAATCAGTAATCAGAAAAGTACACCAGCAACCTCAACTCTCATGGCTTCCAATTTGAAGCACTTGTCAACACGGTTAATGCTTGATACCTATTGCAAGCGGTTTTTATCTCCAGAATTGGCTCGTTAGGCGTCTAGACCCGCTCCCATTCTTTCGTCGACAGCTTCATCTCGCGCGAGCTTCGCCTGACAAGAGCAAAGTTGCAGTTTTTATTTGTACGCATATTGAGGCAAGAATTAGAAGAATAAACTCCGCCAGTATACACGCTTCTCCTCCGGGTCCCTCTGTCAATATGTTTCTTCGTGGCAATCAGGGGGCGAGCGACCGAGAATTTCGCATGTATTTCAGCAGTATTGCGGATGCAAATCACTTCGAGGCGAGAAAAGCAAACGCTTGAGGGAAGGGGTTCTTTGTCCATGGAAGCGGACACCACTGAATTGACGCATCAATCTTACATGCCAGTGGTAGGCATGTGGAATGTGACGGGTTGAACGGTATTGACGAGAACGAAGCGCAACCACAATTCATCCTCCAGACTCCATGAGTGCAGATGCATGTTCTGCGTCAAACCTCATGTCACGGCCAGGGACTCGAAAACCTCGTACAACGCTCACTATTCGCAAGACCCTGATCGGAACGGAAAGAGGCTGCGGGTCTTCACACGCCACTGAAGTTGCAGCATAGCCCAAACGAAGGCAATCACCGGGCCGTACCGCCAAACAAAAAGAAGAAGGTGCAAGGTTCAAACAGAGCGAAGCTTGACACAAGTAAATCCACGCTCCACCAAGCCTGGTTAGGCATATGTAGGATGTCTATCCACCAGACCAGACTGCTGTTATAAATTTTGGTTAGGCGCGAAACCTTCTTGCGCTGTGGTTTTGGGGGCTCACCTGACGCTCCCAGTTCGTCCAGGCTATCGCTGTGAGCTGGAGCATGAGCTGGCTGATGACGCCGATGAACATGCCCCCAAAGATTCCCTGCACGAGCAACGGTCCGGGGTTAGCTCCTGACAAAATGGATGGAAGGAAAACCGGGCAACGCGGACTTCCGGCCACTCAGTTTCGAGTGCCCCTGGGCCGCGTTGTATACCTTCGAATCGACGGTCAAGAAATGGTCTTTCTGTCGGAGTTGACCGTCAATGCGCTAAGTCGCAGCGAAGGGGGCTCGGAGGTGCGGGAGTTCGTCTCGTCCTTCCAGCCATCACGTCAATCTCTGAACGATCACAACAGCTGCCTTCAGCTTCTATTGAATGTAGGTAGGTAAAATGGGCAATCAGCCGCTTTCTCGAGCATCACTAGACGCCCCGTTTGCAGACGAAGCCTTAAGCAGATTAATGAGTTAACCAATAAAAGGTAGAGACTCGTAACCAGCCGCTTTCTCGAGCATCATTTCTTGGACGCCTTTTCTACATCCCAATCTCCGAGCACTTGAATGATTGGTCTGATGAACGGGCAGATCCCCGCAACCAGCCACGTCTTGAGCCTCACCCAGACGGTCAGCGTCAAAACGCAGCCTCAAGCACTTGCTTAGAATGGTTGATGAACGGGTACAGACACGAAACCATCGCTTCATGAGCATCATCACTGGACGCCCCGTTTGCAGACCAAGCCCTTATTTATCTACTGGACTTGTCTGACGACGGGTAGAGACTCAAAAGCAGCCGTTTGAGCCTCACCCAAACGCTCCATTCCAAAATCAAGCCCCAAGCAAACGGGTTGATGTGGTCAATCAACAAGTAGAAACTCGAACCCAGCCGCAACTCGAACCTCACCCAAACGCTCCAAATCATAACCAACCCCCAAGCAACTTACTGGTTCGGTCAATGGACGGGCAAAATAAAACCCAGCCGCAACTTGAATCTCACCCAAACGCGTCAATTCGAGACGAAGCCCCAGCAATGTGTTGGTTTGGACAACGAACGGGTGGAAGTTCGAAACCAGCCGCGACTTGAACCTGACCTTCAATTCAAAACGAAGCCCCAAGGAATGTGTTGATTCGGTCAATGAATGGGTCACTTAAACCCGTAACTAGCCGTGTCTCGAATTTCCTCACCCACACGCTCCAAACTAAGCCAAGCAACCTCTTGAGCTGGTTCACGAACGGGTAGAAACGCGTAACTAGCCGTGTCTTGAGCCTCACCCCGACGCTTCAATTCAAATCGAAGCCTCAACCAAAGTGTCAGGAATCCAAACTGTAACCAGCCGTGTCTTGAATCTCCTCACCCAAACGCTCCATTTCAAAACGAAGCCCCCGACGGCCGCGGCCGGCACCGCGATCGCGTAGTAGCTTGCCAACGCGAGAACCGCGCCGAGGTCCTGCCGACCGCACCCCCGGAGAACGCCTGCGCGTATGACGAAACAAGTCAGGGGGTGAGCTGTCGCCAGTTGCGGTAGTTATGTGCATAGCGAGGGTTTTTCTACTCAAAACATCATGCGCAGTTGCTCTCCCTAAAAAAGATACGGACCGCAGTACATGTACTTCGAAGGTGGACTTCTCCTCGTGGTGAACCCAACTCCGAGCGGAATGAAAAGAAGCATTTTGTGGCCCGCTAAGAAAAAAGCCCGCTGAACCAGCGTTAGTGGCGCTTCTAGCACAGAAGCTAGAGCGCCCTTGATCCAGGGAAGAAGCGCCCCTTTCTGAACAGTTGACGAGCCTCTCACGTGAAGGAAGAGCCTACCCTACATCAAGATATTCGCCCTTCAGGTGAAAGAAGAAGCGGAGGAGTATTTCACTCAGGAGGAAGTATTTCTTGACCCAAGAAAAGAAGAAAGCGCTACTAAACCAGGGTTAGTGGCGCTTCTAGCAGAGCGCCCATCATCTGGAAAAAGTGCCTCTCTCCCAACAAGAACCGAGCCTTTATCCCCAAGGACGAGCGCCCCTGCTAAGAAAAGGAGCGCCCCTAAACTACTAGAAGAAGCGCGGCTTCAAGAGAAGGACATCTCAATGTCCTATGCGAAGTCGCCTCCGAAATCAGAGGCGAGATAGACCGCGAGTCGCTCAGAGACGAAGCAAAAATGCGATTCACCTCAATTTTCAGAGTTTTGTGGACACGCTTTTCAGTATGCTGAGAGACCGTGTGCCATCGCTGCTCTGTCAGCATCTCCGCTTAATTTCCAACGACGAGAACGCCCAGGTTACACCGGGAAAACGCTTCCACCCGCAGAAGAAAGGACTAGATTGAGATTGCGCACCTCCCGCCGTGACTTGGATCGAGTCCCCGAATAGGTTCAAGCTCGCGAAGAGCATGAGACCCGTACACAGGTCCAACAGCTGGCGGTCTGCGCCGTCGATAAAGAGCAGAGGCCACTGCCTGTGCAGCGCGAGCATCAGAGCGGTCGCCACTACCCCGACCACAACGGACCACCCGAGCCCCACCCGCGCGGCTCTTTGCGCGCCCAGGACGGACCCCCGGCCCAGTTCCGTGGCGACACGTGTGCTGCAGTGAGCGCACGGTTTGGTAAGCTTTTCCATGGTCATGAACAGGTTTTGGCTGCCATAATGAAAGGACAATGAGACGCGTCCAGATCACGAGAAGCGGCTCGTTGGAACGTCACGACGCGCTACTCAAGCGTTTCCTGAAGCTTGCCGAGCTGCTGAACTGGTCAGGTACATGATTGATTTGCCACTGACAGAAGCTGCAAAGGGGCCCTTGACTAGGCTGATTGATTGGAGAATCTTATAAGAACTTCGTCGGCGAAGATTCCGACATTTCAGACCCGTAAGATTCGGAAGCGCCAACCCCGACTACAAGTGTGACGTTCCTCGGAAAGCTCCTAAACCTCGGAAAGCTCCTAAACCAACCATCAACCAGGTTTGGTCATCTAAAATCTCTCTTTTGGGCTTTCCTGCTCACCTGACAGCGTTGCCAAGACCCACGTAAGTAGTGGCGCATAGCCACGTGGTGTTCATCCTGCAGACAGCAGGGTTGTGTTCCGTTACCGAAGCACAGCAAGAGCACAGGGGACTGGTAAGCGTTCTACTGGAGCAACGTCGAGATTTCGTGACATCCTGATGAGGCCCCTTTCCGGTGAAGACGAGCAACGGTGCACGGTTCCGCCGGAAGACACCAATCTATTTATTAGCCCCATTTTGGTATTAGCCCCACTTTAGCGGGTAAGCAAGAACTGCATCTGGTAAGAAGAAGACAGCATGGCGTTTGAAGCCTGCCAGATGGTCGACCGGCAGCGTTGGCGAGGAGATCCAACGGATGAGAAACTTTCGACTGCCCAATTAAAGAAAGTCTGGTTCACACCGGGAAAGCAGACAAAGCGAACCAGCACATCGCCTGATTCTTGTCGTTGGCGTCACTTTTGGCGCGCCTTCCTATTGGGTGTCCGTCTGACTCTTGGTTCTCTCGAATTTGCAGTCAGTCGTCTTTACCACTGTGTCTCTGCGGGGATTCTCTCATCTACAAAGGGTCAGCACCCAAGGAGAAACTGCAGGTTGGGGTACCCGTAAACCGAGCTTAGTTCGTGTAAGTCGAGAACGTTTGTGATGACATTGAGTGGGTATTCTATGACCGTGTTGTCCCCGTCTAATCTTTTCGCTTGACCCGTATTCGGTATGGGGTTGATCACAAAGCTCGGGCCGTCCGATAAGTAGCCTGCGGCAATCAAACGGCCCACGAATCCGCACTCGGCGGAGACCCAATAAGCACCAGGCGGCCATTTCCAAGTGACTGAAGTCTGCGGCGCAAAAGACCTGAATTGGGTCAGTCGGCCGTATTGCTCGAGGTGTTCCGTTTGATAATTGCATTTGGGATGCGGTTGGAGAGCTTACGCGACAGACAGGGCCGATACCAGTCGATACGGGTCGGGAAGGAGACCCGCCATGAGATAGATGATGTCGAACGCCACGTACTCCAAACTGCAGGCAAGAGAATCGACGTCAGTATTTTGAGGCTCTTCAGACGCTGCGTTCGGGATGGTTCGAAAATGGTCTCGGCAAGAGGTCGTCGAGTGAAAGCTGCTCCCCCGATAAAACCTGCGGGGTATGATAATAGCAGGAAGTGACAAACAGCCAGAGTCGACCAGAATGAGGAACAGCACGTGCGAGCGGACTCCCTTTTTCCGTAGTTGCTTCATTCCCTGGAGGGTGCAATGTCGATTGATAATGGTGCTCGCTTCGATTTGATTAACCACCGCCCGAGTCGGAAATTACAAAGGTAATGAAAGAGCGCACCTCCCGTTTACCCTATCGCAAGCCATCTAACTGCACTGAGTATATGCATAGCCTCATTCCGCTTTGAGCCATAGCCTATATATTTCCTATACAATAAGCACCTCGTGACATCGAGAGCAAGCAAGCAGAGACGTTCGGAGTCCGTCTGCCTCGGCCCGGGAGGTCAGCAATGACCTCACCACATCATGCTGGCAGAGAAGAAGCCCAGCTTCAGAAAGAGCGGCGCCTTCCGGAACGACCGGCTGAGGTTCAGCTTGGGAGTGGAGTGGGAATACGCCCCGCTGGTGAGAATGTGCCCCAACAGAAACGTGAAGATAAGGCAGTAGGCAAGGCTTGTTGCGATCGGAGCGCCGGTCATACCCCACCCCAGGTAAAAGATGAAGAACCTGCGGACAGAGGGGAATACGTGGGCAGTCAGAACCGCTCGAAACGGGTATCTGTCTTTCCAAGGAAAGGTTCAGTCACTGTTGAGCCAGATTCCTAAATCAGGTACTGTTCAACAGTCGTCTTCTGGATTGGAGGTCTGACGCAACTTTCCAAATCAACCATGAAACGCAGCTTCATCATTCGCGGGGGGGCGAAGAAGTTAAACGCGGGCTCCGATTTGACCTGCCCGACGGGACCTCCTGCAGTCAAACGAGTCACCAGTGGATCGATGAATGCAGGCAATTCCAACGAGAGAGCTTGCAGCTTTTTCGCTCGTAAGGGTCCACAATCTAAAATGGTTCGATCATTATGCCGTTCAAAACGAACGGCTAAAGCTTGGCTTTTGAGCCAGACGAGCCGACCGTATCCTTCTCTCTATAGTCGAAGGTGGTGGACCTTACGCCTATGAATCTTTCGGACTGCTGCAAGACGGAATGGAAGCCCGCAAACGAAACCTCCTGACCTCCCGAAATGTGTGCTCTCAAACGAAGCGCTGATCAATTGGTGTTCGCCCTCATTGCTCTTCCATTTTGCACCAAGCGCGGCCAATCTGGTCTCTGAAATTAAGATTCGAGAGCATATATGGAAAGGCATTTGTCCTCAGGGGCCACTTACAAACCTAATCCTCCTCATGCCATAACTGTCCTGCGAAGCCTCACTTTGCCCTCTCCGTAGCTTTCCAAAACCCTAATTCTGGATCTTATGTGTAAAGGGATGTTGCCGCTTTGAAAGCTTAGGAGCTCAAACCCCCTCTCAGAATAGCTCACCAGTTACTCGGCAGGTGCAGCAACAACGTCACCGTCGACGCCCACGCGAGCGGCGCGGTCGCGCCGAGCGACTGCAGGAACTTCACCAACGGCTGGGTCCACGCGTTTGCAAACAAGCTGGGGATCAACAAATGGAGATACTTTGCCGCTTCCTTCGCCAGTGTCGGGTCCTGCCCTAAAGCTAGCAGCAGTGGCTCCGCGAAAGCCCAGGCGATGCTGATGGTGCAGGCGAGAAGAGTTAGGACGATGAGTCCGAGGTGGGTGACGTGTCCAAGCTCGTCCAGCTGTCCGGCGCCAACGACTTGCCCGCCCAGCGTCTCGAGCCCGAGCGCCATGCCCACCTGGGGGGGTTAAAGGGTTTCAATTGAGTTTTGTGGAAAGGTCAAGGGGGGGTAAGGGGTTTTGATCCGAGGTTTCCATCAGGGTTGAGGGAAACCTGATGGAAACCTATTGGGTTTGAGGGTATCAAGGATTTGAAGGTCTCATGCCTTTAGGGTTTTGGTATGTAACTCTGAAGTCCAGGTGCATTTTGTGGGGAACGATTTGACAGGCCTGCAGAGATTGGTTATGCGGGTCAAAAAGGCGGGGCTGTTCCTGCTTCGTAATCAGGGGGGCCAGCGGAGAAAGGGAGCACAATGTAATCAGGTGCAATTCAATTCTGCCTTGCATTGAAGTTCCGTGCGCTTCGGAACCTGACGGAAAATGGGGCTCAGACGATACGGAACGACACCGTATTGTCGTTCTTATGACAATCTTCCCAGCACCAATCTGCTGGCTTTCTGATGGGCTAAGGATTTTGCACCTGATTGATGATAATGGCACCTAACCCAGTGCAAATTGGGTACGCTCAAACCCCTTTCCGCGATTCTTAGTGACCCGACATTGGCTTGCAAGACCATTGAATTGAGCTGGGTTGTTGCATCGAGGTGACCCGCTCATCTCAAGACAATGGTGGCACTCAAACCTGGCACATTCCCTTCTTCAGGCTTAGGAGGTTGGCAGCCGTGGATATCATGTACGCTAACGATCATAAATGCCTTTACCTTGCGATGTGCGCCAAACGGATTGAGTCATGCCGGCGCAGCGCTCGATACTCACCAGCACATAATGCCCCAGCGCATTTGCGAGCGATGTGGCGAGCTGCGCGCTCGCCAGCTGGAGCGCCCCCAGGTGGCCCACAAACGCCGCTGACGTCAGCACCAGGAGCAGCTGCACCGCATTCATCCCGATGATGGGCAGCGCCAGCGTGAGCTGCTGCTTCGCCTCGTGCTGCCAGGTGGCTCGTTTTGATTCGGCATTGTGTCCATGGCTGCTGTGCTCGTTTTTGGGAGTGGATATCAGAGGCTCATCCAATGAGTCTGCGTCTCCGGCCGCCATGGCTTTCTTTCAGAGGCCGCCGCCCCAAGTTGCTGGATCTACCTACCTCAATCTGAAGTCGCCCCTGGTTCCAATACAATTAACAGGAGTTCTCCTGTGCTGTAGTCCCACATGATATTGACAGATCATGCATGGCGGCTTCGTTTTCACCAGCAGACTCCTCTTGAGCAGACAAAGCACATGCAAGCTAGGCAGGAACCTCTGCTCAGGATAGGTACTTTCTAGACTCTCTGTACCTAGATGCTTTCTACCGACCACGCCGTACAACATCGTTACTGTATTTGTACCTATGATTGTTTCAATTCCTACTGTACCTGCCCTGAGTCCCAGACCTTGCACTGTTTCAAAACATTCTGACACT